CGTACCACAGTTTGTTTAATGTCTCTAACACAAGATAAGATGTTTCCAAGCACTTGGTGTACACTCTTTTCATTTTTCTTCTTATTTTTTTAGGGGGCAAATTGTGTACCTTACCATTACTTAATTCAATGGTTGCTTCCATGGTTCTTTCCTTCCCTGAATTCTTGCTTAGAATGAGCGTGGAGTGGACCAGCATGTTATGTTTAATTTGTCGATTTATATAATTATACAATTTTTTTTGTCATGATATATTTATGTAAGTTCAAGGTAAACCTAACACTGTTAAAATGGGTCGGTCCAGAAAATCTGACAATGAAGTGTATTGAATTTCAAAATTCAATTTTGATTTAATCCAAAATTTTGTTAGCCCATCTGGGTTAAGTTCATAATATGTGGACTAACTTATTGACATAATAATTTAATCAAGTTATGAATATATTAAAATATCAAATATTAATGTTAATGTAAGAACATGATAATGTAAAAGTATGATAATTATTTGATGATTTTATATAAATATTATATATATGTTAATTATGATGTTGCTATTGGAATTATAATGTAAATTTTAAAAAATAAAATTTAAGATACAAGGTCAGGGTTGGCCCTTTTAACTTGTAGCAACAGATTAGACTAAACTAACAAAGTTTCAACCCAAAACTTAAATAGAGCATTCCTATCCAAATGGGTTAGATTAACCTAAATTGACACTCATAACACCAATACACCAATACATCGTGAACTTGAATCCAAACACATCTATGTCTTCAAATCCTATCAAATTAAGTTGTCTCAATTGTAATGCAGAGGGTTTAGTCAAAATAAACTACTTTATTTTGTCTTTTTTTTTTCATTTATCCTTAAAATCAAAATATCTTACCTTCTAAGTTGAATGTCCTCTTCCATTTTTTTAAAATATACTAGACATAAAATCAAATCCATACTTTTTATGTTGGATCTTGCATTAAAATGTTGCCAAAGTAATTTGTGAGAAACGAAGTCTAAGAATGAGTTTGTCGGAAATTAAGCAAGTTTGTATAACCTCTTTAATAAATTAAAACTACGGCAGATTTTAAATTAAATAAAAATAAATACATACTTGTTTCCTCAAGTCAAAAAACTGAAAGAAGCTTATCCAAATTCTAGTCCTTTTACATGTGAGCCATTGCCAATTGTTAAAAGAAAACCTTGTCCAGTGTTTAAAATTAGAAAAATAATATACTACATAAGACATGTAAAAGATCAACGCTTAAATGGGTGATTTGGAGAAAAAGACACTATTCATTAATTTGTTATATTAATATTATTAATTTTAAAATTAGTGAGAAACAGATGACATAAACATGAATATGAGCAAAAATAAAGTATATATTTTTATTGTATATTTAAAAAATATACTTAAACAAAATATGAATACAAATAGAATATTGCAGTTGTATTCTTTTATCTGTAATGCCTATCTATTGCATTTATTAATATTATATGAAACTATAACCTCACAAACCTGCCATTTTGTTCATGACTACAATCAAAGTCCACAAAGTACAATATTATAACAGCATATACACGTCACTCACATACTACTATGTTTATGAAAAATGTGCAAGAATTGCTTTCCGTGATCAAATAAAACAATTAATCAAGCACTCTAATTGATCATTTGCACAAGATCAATGAGTTACATTACAACCAAACGTTGTCACTTAGCGTGGTTGGATCTTTTTCACCTGAGTTTGTGTTTCACCATCAATTAATAAAATTTTTCTACCATATCCTTAGACCAACCCGTTGGTTCTTTTTCTTTAAACACGGTAAGTGTACCGAGTCTGTTGTAAGTAATAACTAGTAGAGTATCAGAATATCATCTTCAAAGAACAATTTAAATGTATTAATTAATAAGATACAAATTAATTGAGCTTATATACAAAATTTTCATGTAATATTAAACAACACTTAAAATGTAAAGCACTAAAATAAAATGTGGTAAAATTTAAGTTAAAAAGCTGGGATTAAATTTCATCTATTTTCTCCTATATATTATAGTAATTCAGTGATAAATATAGCAATCATTTCCAATGAATCTGATGCAAAATACGAAAATCATATATTTCAATTCCTGAAGAATACATTTTTAAGATAATTTTTCAAATATTGATTCCTCAAACAGTTAATAAATTATCCAGCATTAAAATCAAGATTTAGAAGCAATCAATAACTTGAAATCTATTCCTAGAACAACCGGTTATTGAGTAATCTTAATCAGATCTAGATCTAAACAATATCTTTCCAAATATAACTCAGATCTGAACACCAGAAACTGTCAAATAACTAGATTCAAACATTAAAAATGGATTGAGATCACTAAATCATTAAAAATGAAGAAGAAACAACTATATTTATATAGATTACTGAGAATACATCAGGTTTGAAGATTTACATTCAATCCCATAAGAAGATTTAGCTGCTCATGGCTCCCATAACAACAAAAATGGAGATACAAATGGAATAAAGCATAAAAAACATGAGTATTCCTACTCTTCCTCTATGCTTTGTGCCGTTTGGACCTTTGGAAGGGAGTTTGAACAGTGAACCTCACACTTGAACATAAAAGTTGCCTTTTATACTGGTCTGGTCGAACTTCCTCGCTACAGCGACAAGGGCTGTAGTGAGAAATGGAGATAAAATTAGGTCATTCTGTTTTATTCTCGCTGCAGCGTTAATTCTCGTTACAGTGACCACTTCTCGCTGTAGCGACAAGGGAACAGATTCACCTTCCTCTAACTGCAACTTCTCGTTGTAGCGAGTATTTCTCGTTACAGCGAGAAACCTCTAAAAGCTAACTTTTCTGCAACTTCATGTTTCAATTATTCCTTCCTCTAACTTTTTTAATCTTCTTCAACCTTAAGTGATGTTTCTTTTTGTGATTCCAGTTACAAAATAGATCAAAAAGAACTTAAAACCATAAAATTGCATTCATTTCAAAAATATATAGGTATTTGTAAAAGTTTTAAGTTTAAAGAGAATTTAGCAAAATAATCCAACTTTTAACACAAAAGTGTTTAATTTATCATCTCAAATCACTTATTTTATACACTTATCACAACCCACTGTTTTCTTCTTGAAACATGCATACAATAATTCTTTGAAAATTACAAGGCTCAGAAACTTTCATAGATGAATTATGAAAATTTGCGGCTGAACTTGAACAAATATCAAACACACAAGTAGTTTCTTACTGTGTTTATAAGAATGATATGGCGTATTGCATTTATGTGATCTGTAAGTTGAGAAATGTTTTTCCAATTGAGAGCTTGGCTCGGTGACAGGAAAGTACATCCACCAGATTTTTGTCTGTGTTTCGTTGTAATTTAATAAAGTTTTTGTTTAAAGCCATGTCAATTTTAGAAATATACATATGTTTAATTTCAATTATATCAGTTTGATTTTTAAAATTAAATTTGAAATTTTATTCGATCTAAAAAATGGTTTTTATTTTTAAAATTTTAATTATTTTATTTTTCATTTTACTTTATATTATATTGACGTGTAAAGAAGTCTATTAATAAGACATAGCGGGTTTGACTTTAGGTGAATTTATTAACCTTCTATTTTTTAATTTTGAGTTATAATTAATGACTTAATTTTGCTCGACTTTTCAAAGATGTGTCTATAGATTATATTTTGGACATTTAGTTTAATAATCTATTCAATAATAATTTTTATACTAGAGTTTACGTAAAAAAAATTAATAAAAAAATTCAATAAAATAAACTAAAAAATTATATTAATAAAGGTATTCTAATCCTTGTTTGCGAGCCATTGCCGAACGTTAAAAGAAAACCTTTAGAAAGATGGATAATGATTGTTACACATCATTTCCATTTTACTCCATTTCAATCCTACAAAGAAATTGGTCGTTACCCAGTGTTTAAAATTAGAAAAATAATATACTACGTAAGACATCTAAAAGATCAAAGCTTAAAGTGGTGATTCGGGTAAAAAGTAACATTATATTAATATTATTAATTTTAAAATTAGTGAGAAATAAATGACATAAATATGAGAAACAACAAAGTATATATTTTTCGTATATTTAAAAATTATACTTAAACAAAATATGAATACAAATAGAATATTGCAGTTGTATTTATTTATTTTATCTGTAATAGCTATTTATTGAGTTTATTAATATCATATGAAACTATAACCTCGCATGCATGGAGCCATTTTGTTCATGATTATAACCAAGATCCAGAAAAGTACAGTATTATAATAGCATATACACGTCACTCACATACTACTATTTGTTTATGAAAAATGTGCAAGAATTGCTTTCAGTGATCAAATAAAACAGTTAATCAAGCATTCTAATTAATCATTTGCACAAGATCAATGAGTTATATTACAACCAAACGTTTCTCACCTAGCTTGGTTGGGTCTATTCTAATTATAGTTCACCTGATTTTGTGGTTAAAATTTTTCTTTCAAATTAACAGAAAACAAGATGACCATTAAAAGCAGTTATATCTAAATTCCATTCTGTTTCATTTCTCCATCCATTCACTTATTCATTGTTCTTTTTCTACAATCTATTTTCATATTTTTGGCATTATGTATCATGATAAGAACAATGTCTAGACTCATGCAAGGGAATGGCAGAGAAATCTAGGTGGAAAAACTAACTGCTGTATGTATATAAATTTCTCTGTCATTATGGTAATCAATGACAAGTATAATTCTCCTCTCCATTCATTTTTAAAACAAATTCAACAGAACATGCACCAACCCCACTGCATACAACAAACAAGATTATTCATGTTCTCTTAGACATTTTTGCTACCTTCTTTGACATCTCTTTTTGATTGAAGGGGTTCTCTTTTCTTTCCCTTCGTTCTGTTCTGTTCAACATTGATTCAAGGCCAACAGTTCAACTCCCTATCACTTGTTCCTTTGTTTTTGTATAAAAACAAAGGCAGAACCCAAAGAAGGTCTAGTCGACAATGGTTCGAGCTTTTCATCACCAAGGCAGCATGCAAAAGTCCAAGTCTTTTCATTTCAGGAAGATGTTTGAGATTCCAGGGAAACATATTCATGGTTTATTTGATAGAGATCATGATGAAGGTGAAGATGGTAAGGTGTATTCAAAAAGCTTTGAATCCAGAAGTACAAGTGACCTGCCATTGGAAGTTAAGCAAACAGGACATGGTCTCAATAGTGATCGTACACCGGCAGCAAGCATGGGTGCTGATGTACCTAAAATGCCTCCTAAGCCACCAACTGGTATATTTGCTCCCTAAATTTTGAGTCAAGACAAGATTGTGCTTGGAACTTCTATGCTGTAAATCAATGTGATCAACATGAAAATTATTTAATATGATCATGGGATTCAGCTTAGTTTTTCATAGAGGATAATCACTTTGCATAAATTGCTGACAAATCTTTTTTTTTTGCTTCTATTCAGAAACTGACATGATGAAGGAAAAGTTTGCTAAGCTGCTTTTAGGAGAAGACATGTCAGGTGCAGGGAATGGTGTTTCTTCAGCCTTGGCTTTGTCCAATGCTGTAACAAACCTGGCTGGTATGTACTTTTTTTTCCCAATGTATGTGTGCCAATTGACTATTCCATTGCTCCTGCTTGTTTGGTAGGGATTGAAATGGTTTCTCAGAAGAGGAAGCATTGTTTAAATCATGTATTACATGGGATCTGGTTACTGGAACTATAATTGATATTTTTTAGTCATCTTGACTTAAATTTAAGCACTTGTATATTTTCTGAGTGTGGCTTACTCAAATGTGTTCTCTCAATGAAATTTCAATTCAACAATTGGCTTGTTTCTGATGCAATGCAGCATCTGTTTTTGGAGAACAAAAACAGCTGGAGCCAATGTCCTCAGAAAGGAAGGCCAGGTGGAGAAGAGAAATTGATTGGCTTCTATCTGTGACTGATCATATTGTTGAATTTGCTCCATCAAAACAAATAGCTAAGGATGGAACAAGCATGGAGGTCGGCAACCTTATTCTATCTCACTCTTACCCTAAAACTTTACTATTAATTTGTAATTACGACAGTTACAAACATTTTAGCTTCACTTTTTCTACACAAAATAACATGTTATGACATCATGTAGATCATGACTACTCGCCAACGAAACGATCTGCTCATGAACATCCCTGCCTTGCGCAAACTCGATGCAATGCTCCTTGTAAGTAGCTAAATCTTTTCTAATTCAATGTTCAAATGGCTTCTTTCACTCGCTATGGACTAATTAGATAGCAATGGAACAGGACACATTAGACAACTTTAAAGATCAAAATGAGTTTTGGTATGTCTCTAAAAATGATGAAGAGTCTGAGAATAACACTAAAACTCAAAGGAAGAGTGACAAGTGGTGGCTACCAACTGTTAAAGTTCCCCCAACAGGGTTGTCTGACACAGCTGGAAAATGGATACAGTCCCAGAAGGACAATGTCAACCAAGTACTTAAAGCAGCCATGGCAATAAATGCTCAAGTACTATCAGAAATGGGGATTCCTGAAAACTACATTGAGTCTCTCCCTAAGGTAATATAATTCGACCAAAAAAAATTCTCTACTTGGCTTATTCATTTCATAAGAACTCAAAACTTGTAAGCTATGTTAATCTTCTCCTTCATGTCTTTCGCAGAATGGTAGAGAAAGCCTTGGTGATTCAATCTATAAGAACATTACAGTGGAATACTTTGATCCTGGGCAATTTCTCTCAACAATGGACTTGTCCACGGAACATAAGGTGCTTGACCTCAAGAACAGGATTGAAGCTTCCATTGTGATATGGAAAAGGAAGATGGTCAACAAGGATGGAAAGTCTTCTTGGAGTTCAGCGGTGAGCATGGAGAAGAGGGAACTCTTTGAGGAGAGAGCAGAGACAATATTGTTGATGCTCAAACACCAGTTCCCAGGACTTCCACAATCTTCACTTGACATTAGCAAAATCCAATACAACAAGGTGAAAACAACATTGCAAGTTTGCAACTAGTTCTTTCATGTTACATATCTCAATATTAGATAGTCACTACTAACGAAATTTGATGGCTTCCAAAATGATCACAGGATGTGGGACAAGCCATTCTAGAGAGCTATTCAAGAGTAATAGAAAGCCTGGCTTACACAGTGCTGTCAAGGATTGAGGATGTCTTATATGCTGATTCAATGACAAAGAACCCTTCATTGGCAGTGAGTAGTAGAAAGTTTTCATTGGATTCTTTACCAGTGGCTGAGCAAACTTCACCAAATTCTGGGGATGAAAATAGCAACTCACAATCTTCAGAGCCTGCAATGACTCTCTCAGATTTCATGGGTTGGGGATCAATCAAGGTAGGGAGTGAAATGAAGAAGACTAGCTCTACAGGAGACTTAGAAGAGTTGGATGAAAACGATGAGAAGGGTATGAATAAATCTCCTAAACTTACAACTCCAAAAAAAGCTTACTACTTGGAGAAGCTTGAGTACTTGAATACTTTAAGAAGTCCCATAGCTCGGAACTAATATCAATAACAAAAAAATAGTTATAATGAACATATGAACACTCAAATTGAGGCCTCGGTTATGTAGCAATTGGACCCTACTTAATGAGAAAATTCTTGTGTACTACTCCTCCTTCCTTCCATGGAAAAGGAAGTTTGTGTATAAGTATTGGGTCTTCTTTTTGTAACCGGCTTGTAAATTATGTCAGTTTGACTTAGGACATGTAAATTCTTTATCTTTTTGCTTCTTCAAAATAGTGGAAGATTGATAGTCCTTTTGGGAATGGTAAGATCATTCTTGGAATGAGTATTAACATTAAGATTTAAGATGCTAATCTAAATCCTTATAATCATGATGATTTTTCCTACCAAAATCACAAAAATAACTACTTTCACAGCCCTCAAAATACAAATATTTGCAAATAATCTTTGGTTTCCAAATCACAACTAACATTGAACTACCACATGAAAAAGATAAACCACCAGCAGCATGAATACTTAGGACTAGTAGTTACATGAAGCATTAGGCTCTATAGTTTTTCATTGTGTTCGTTTAGTACGCCGTATCAGCCATAAAATGTCACTGCCATGGAAGGATCTTCTATGGCGTGTAACCTTTGGGGTACCCTACAAAAAGTAATCAAGCCATTCACAATCACAATCCACTTTGTCATGCAGCATGCATGAGGACTTAAGAGCAAAGAAAACAAACTCACTTGGAAATGAAATGTAGGATTTGACACTTTTGTTAAGACTGACAAACCATCACGAACAGGCACCACTATAGTTTTAGGATTGAAAAAAAAAAAATTGTTAGAGATGCAACTTAAAATAAAGTTATGTAAAAGAACATTATATTATATTGTGTTGTATTTTGGGTATTAAAAGACCATAATATTGTACCCATGGTCAAATTGTTATGCTCGTTAACCGTAGTAACATTGATTGGCTTCAGATTCCTAGGGGCATGTTGCTTCTGGGTGTACATAAAAAGTGGCAAATCCTCTTGTGTCTCCAGTATGTGTTTATCTTCAATTTTTGAGGTAACTTCAGTTTTAGAATCTCTGCATTGGATAAAAAGAATAATATAATAAAGACCAAACTAAAATGTAAAATATAGTTCATTTTCATAATGAGAATGTCATGTCAACCATTGTGTTTCTTTGTTTCGACAATCAGAAAAAAAATGGTCAAACATTATTCATGATCATGTTCATGAGGGGTATTGAGAAATAGTACCTTAATTTTTCACAGCTTAATCTCTCAAGGATGGGTGCTGATTATGGAAAGCAATTGAAAAAAAAATTAAAAAAATTAGAAACAATATTAATTTAAAAAATTGTCCCTATCAAAAGAATCAAGGGGTGACATGAAATATTTACGTGATGATAAATATCGAGAATGGAATCTTGGCACTTTCTCCCTCCATCGCATTTTTGTGAGGGCAAGCTTATCAGCATATTGTTCACACGAGAAAAGCCTCTGTCAAAAAAGCAACATCTTTTGTGACTAATTATTATTGATTTGCTACATACGTTAAGGTTTTATTTTATTTTTCTCCCCCACTGAAACATTTATTTTATGATAATGATATTCATACATTAACTTTGTACATTTCTATGATACGTACTAATTTGCTATATTGTGATCACAAACTTTTCATCACTGATTTATGAGACATACTGTTACCAACAATTTACTTCTATGAAATAAATATAAAAAAGTCAACAAAAATAAGTTACTAAAGAAATGTTACAAAATTGTTGTGAGAATATTATCATCTTCTATTTTTTTTGCATGTTATATACTTCAGATAACAAACTATTATGCATATTTTGGGCAAGTGTAAAGTAATAATACTAACTTGTTTGAGGCATTGGATTCGTGACTCAGCCTCAGAAAATGCATTTGTTTGAGAAATAAGGCCTTCAAGATTGGCCGAGACGCTTCCAAGATGATCAACTACAGTGACTACAGCCCTGCATATGTATTCTTTCGTATTTTCCATCACACTGCAATATGTACAAATTCCAATAGGTCACGGATAAAAAATGTCCACTAAACAAACAAACAAACTCTTACACAAAAGTTAGAAAGCTCAATAAAAAAAGGGCATAACAGAATAAAATCTAAACTTTTTAGTACCATGCTTCTTTTTTATTCCTAAGCAAATTATGTGGCATTCTAAAAGCATAACAACAGTAATCTACTGTGAACAATATTCTACACTTCACATTCTTATCTTTCAGATTTAGTACACCTTAGTTATTTAGATTAATTGATTTTTGAATTATGCAAACCCCCCAACAGTGACATGATCGGTGAGTGGTCCCCCATTATATTGTGCCTGTTTATGGACTGGATTGTCAACTTCAACCCAAAACAAGGATGGAAAATGAACTTCTAAGCCCAAATTTGTACTTATATGGGCTGGTGCAACTTTAGGGTGACACTCAGCAATGCTTCATCACAGGCCACAAATGTTAGCAAATTATTCAACAGAAGAAAACAAAAGGAAAAGACATGGACCACCATTAGGTGAATGAATCCTGAACTTGATAGCAAACTTTGAAGGATGAAAGCACAAGGCTGAAGCCTTAAGCCGAAGGCAGAAAATGAAGTTATTGTTTGAACTACTAAAAATTGGCACCATATTGGTTTTAATTTTTCTATATACACACATAAAAAACATAGAAACATTTTCGATAAAGTTAACATTGGTATAAGAGTGTGGTGAGCTTAAGGGACTCACTCTCTCTTGGCTTCACTTTTCAAGAAAGTTGTTTCACAATAATCTGCAGCATGGTGAAGCTGAGACCGTAATTCTCTTAGCTCCTACAACCACCATGACCAAAAGATGGAACTTCACTGAAAAACTGTAGAATAGTAGAATAACAGATAAAGTACATACAATACAACACAGTACTACATATGTATAAGAACCTGAAGAGACTTTTGAAAGTGCATGCTTTCTTCTACCTCAGCCTCAGCTTCTGGTTTTTCAAGGGAAGGAAAAGACTCGAAATTCACCTCCATGCTCTTGTTACTGATTGAGAGGAAGAAACAAAAGATGAAGTTATGAAAATAACGCTTTTTAAGGCAAATAGAGACTTCGCAAGAGTTCCTTATCTACTCTTTCATCTGAATGAGACTTGTGGATGTATGTGCCTTCGTTTTTTGTAACTCAAAAGAAAGCGTTATGTCACTACTGGAGACTTGTGTTGTGACACGTTGAAAACAAACAAAACTCAATAAAGAGAGGATTAACAAGCAGGGAAAACATAGTGGAAGATGACAAGTAACAGTTTCAGTCCCGTGACATTTTGTTTTTCCCTTTTTGAGCTTTTATGTTAAAAAGCACGGTAATGACTGACACTACTAGCATGTTTGGTTCAAAACTACTTGGTTTTTAGAATCCTTGGATTCGCATTAAATTAACTCAAACTTGAATCCATCTTAACGCTACAAGTAAGTAATAGCTTTTATATTAAAACATTATTTAACATGATTTTGTAAAAATTCAAAACAAATACAGTAATAGCATTTATAAAGTGTTTTCCAACACACACACACACTAATGTAATGACATATACTACACTAGTACTAGCATTACACATTTTATTTTATACCCATTTAGAAGTTGACAGCACTCACATTTGTAGCTCAGAATTGTTGATCCAGATTATCTTCTGAAATTCTTTTGATAAGCACAAGATGGTGTTGCAAAGTTGCTTTAACCCTTGTGGGGTCTCTAAAAAAATTATGAGATAAAAACAAAATAAAAAATTGCCTAACATTTTGAATGGCACATAAATGGGAAGAGTTTGAGAGATTGTTCAGATTTGATTTGAGTTAAACAGCACATGCAACTATGCAAGGGTTCATGTGATAGATATAGATATACAGGCACATTTGTAAAGGATGCCTCACTTTGAAGAAATCACAGTGTCTAAGTGCCTCAATCAAGCAAGTGATTATTTTAGAGAGGATATGTTAATGAATTCAGCAATTTTTAATTCCGAAGATTATTATATGATAGAAGGATTGGATGATGGTAGAATAACCAAAGAAAACTAAAATAATGCTTGCTTTTCACTGCATTGACCACTACAAAGAAAATTAGCAATGCATGTGCAGTGCTTGAAAATGTTATTCTTAAAATCAACTCAAAGGCCAGAAAAAGATTTTTTTTTTTTTAATTTATTGTTTGGTTTATGAAAGATTTTTATAGTTTTATTTATACCTTTAGTAATGTGTGCTTCATGAGAATTTTGATTTATGAGAATGCCAGCTAAGAGAGAAATTTTGAATCGGTTGGTGTACAATAATGTCCAAGAATCAGGACCATTTAATTTATAATTTCCAGCTAATTGGTGAGGATTACAAATTAACTTTTTATGTTAACATTGCCAAACTTTTTTCCATTTTCAGTTGATAATTAGATACGGTATAAGTCATTTAATACTTCTTGGTGCGTGTGACTAAGCATTTAATACTGATAAACACTCTACTTAGTAACTTTTTATATTTATGGAAAATGATTGCAATAAATTGTATTGCCAAATGATCTCTCTGGATTATGTACAAGTAGCAATTAAATAGTTTTTAATGGAAAACTTGTCTTAGATGCAACTTAACCTTCCTATGTCTCCATGTGTGATAGAACATCCCAAAATTCCTAACATCATAAAGTATTTTTATTTCCCCTTTCATTCTTTTCCTTTTAATGCTCTAAGTATCTGCAATAGGCCCAGTCCAAAGAATAGCATGCTACAACAGTGAAAAGCCCATTTCCCTAGTCTAGACCAATAAAAAAAATTAGCAATAAGGCCTGGCGACCACAATGAAAATTTTCTTGTAAAGATGAAAGTAAGCATATGAATATTAAGGTTATGAAAAAAATTTATGACCCTTATAAATATTTTAGTTTATTTTAATATTTTTTTGGTAATTTTATTAAAATAATTTTTGACCTATTTTAACGAGTTTTATTACTAAATTAATGACATATATTATTATTTTAAAATTATTTATTAAATAAATAATTTTTTTCAAATTTTCTGTGTAAGATTATATAGGATAAAAAGTTGTATATGATAATTTTTAATAAATGCATTAAGATACATTGAAATTTTTATTTTTTAGTAAAAATTTATTATACATGACTTTTTATTATATACAATATTGCATAAATTATAAAAAAAATGTATGTTAAATATAATAAATCATATTATTTTGTTATTTTTTGGTTTTTTAGATCAATACATATTATTTATTAATTAATATATAGATCTAGAATGTCACGTGTAGAGCATGTTGGCCTTAGGGATGATTTCTTACATTCAAAATGTTAGAATGTGCCTTAACTGATTTGATTAAGAGATTTATTGTCTTTATCGTATATACACAGACGCATGCAGGTAGCCGCCCACACACACATTGCACATGCAAAAAAGGGTTTGTCAAATACTATAATGTCTCTCACATAATCACATTGAAAAATAAAATAAAATTGAAGGTTCCTCCCCCCTCTTCATTTTTTTCTTTTATATTTTTATTAATCTAAATAATAATAAAAAATAATAAATTATTCTCATCTATTTCTCTCTTACTTTCACACATTATTAAGATACTTTATGAATCTAATTTTTTATTTATTAATAAACACTTAATATATGTGTGCATGTACAATATACCAAAATAATTCATATAATATATATATATATAGGTTAAATTAAATTAATAAAAATTTAAACAATTCCTTAAATGTATTTATTAAAAATTGAAAAAAAACAAAGAATAAGTTAAATTGAATAAATATTTAATCATTATTTATCACAGTTTACATGAATTTATACTCACCTTATGCTATAATTATTTATTTAAAAAATAATTATTATTAGTAAAAACATACAAAAATAAGGCTTATTCAAATCCGTTTTCACTATAACTTGAAAGGATAATTTTATAATTTAGTAAAAAGAAACAATACTGAACAGTTATATATATAATAATTTCTATAGAAGCTATGTATAGTAAGAAAAAAGTTTTTTACTTTATTAAACATTGTTGCATTAAAAATATAAAAATTTAAACGAGTTATTATGACAATTCCAGTTAAAAGATAGATGCTGAATCAAGAGTATGAAATCTTGTCAAAGAGGCAGAATCACTTAATTTAAATGATTTTTTAATCTTATATGTTAGGCACACGTGTTAAAAAGATGATAGAAATCTTTATTAAAAAGGAAAAACTAATTACATTAAAATTAATAAAAATTTTATATTTCTCACTCTTAACTAATATATCTGATAAATAAAATAAAATATTCCTAACTTAAATATATAAAGTTCCAACTCTTTAGCTAACAATTTTCCCCTACAGGTTTCCATAGTCTAAATTTTACCGTTAGGAAATGGTCCATCATCAATCATTGCATCAACGACTACAATGATCTCATCAAATATTAGAGCTTCACAAAATCAATCAATCAATTCATCATCTTTCAAGGTGTCACGACACTGTCATGGTTCAGGCTTCACGTGATTGTGTCTCTCTGTTTCCTTTCCCACGTGTCACACACAGGGTTGGTGATTGGTGCTCATGAGTCAAAATTCGCTCCCATTCACACCTGTAAGTCACTCACGAAATGCCCAAGTAAGTGTCTTCATTGATTGGTACGTGCCATTATAATCTTTGGTCTCATCCTATTAACCCACCACCTTGTGTTCCATTTTGATGCAAAAAATCAAAACCTGATTCATAAAGGAACGAACTTGGGATTTGTTTTCTCGGAGATGGCGTTGGTTAAGGTTGATTTTGAGGTTGGAAGTGATGGGGTCGCCGTTATCACCATGTGCAACCCACCTGTGAATGCCTTGGCTATTCCAAGTTTGTTTCATCAATTCTTCGTTCTTTAGTAAATTGTTGCTTTTTCTTTTTTTATTTCTTCCAATTTATGTTTTTGTTGTTGTTTAAATAGTTATAAAGGGGTTGAAAGATAGATTCGATGAGGCAGCGAGGAGGAATGATGTGAAAGCTATAGTTTTGACTGGTAAAGTTCTATGGATTGCACTTTTGCGATAATTTTACTTTAATGATAATGGCATTGTTTTATACGGCGGGTGGCATTTTGATTGTTGAAGTAAGAAAATTTACATTTTTTTAATATATTTTGTTTCCCTCTTAAATTCAGGCAAAGGTGGGAGATTTTCGGGTGGCTTTGACATCAGTGTTATGCAGAAGGTTCACCAAACTGGTAAATAATGATCAATTGTCTGTTTCGTAAAATTGGGTTGGATACTAAAGTGATGGTTGAGTCTTGTGAGTTTTGATCTTTGAATGTGCTGTTTTTCTTGACAGGTGATATTACACTTGTCCCTGATGTGTCTGTGGAACTAGTGGTCAATACAATTGAAGGTTGTAACTATTCTATAAGATTGAGGTTACTTTAGAGGAGACATTACCTTGATGGTTCTGTTAGTGTGACTTTTGCAATGTTATTTGTTAATATTGATTGATACAGATTCGAAGAAGCCTGTTGTTGCGGCAGTGGAGGGGCTTGCTCTTGGAGGTGGCTTAGAACTGGCCATGGTTAGTTTTTGTCATTGAAAAGTGATGCTGTTCCTTTAAATAAAAAGAAATGATGTCCAAATGTCTTCAGTATCACGTGTAATGTAACACCTTTTCATTTTGTAGGGATGCCATGCACGTGTTGCAGCTCCAAGAACTCAACTGGGTCTGCCAGAACTGACACTTGGTATTATTCCTGGATTTGGAGGTAATGAACATTTGCATGCATGTATTCAGTAATCTATATTAGGTAAGAAACTTTTCATCATTTGGTAGCACTTACTGAAATGCTAACAAAAATTGTAATTTTAAAGGCACTCAGCGTCTTCCAAGGCTTGTTGGGCTGCATAAAGCAGTTGAAATGATGCTGGTAAGATGTTGTTGACCATCCATTCTTTTTTTTTTTTGTTGGAGTTTCCATTGCAGTTTTTCTGCAGTAGATGAACCCAAATATCTTTTAGTAATGAGTTGTGTGGTGTAAAAGGAATAGAGGAAAATGAAAAAAAATTGAGATCTTTTTTATTGGTGGTGTCAAAAATAATTGTTCTCACTAAATTTGATGAATATAGACTTTGGAAAATGAATTAGAAAGGAATTAACTGTGTTTTGCAGTACTTGGGGTGCTCTTTACTATGTATACCTTTTTTGGGGACTTCATTCAATTAAAAATATTATTTTTACCTTAGGTTGTGGTGAAAAAAAAAATTGTTAAATTTAACTTTGCATCTCTTGCAGTCATCTAAACCAATCATGTCAGAAGAAGGGAAGAAACTTGGACTTGTTGATGCTATTGTGTCTTCTGAGGAGTTACTAAAGGTATCTCGACTGTGGGCACTTGAAATTGGAGAGAGGCGCAAACCTTGGATTCGTTCACTTCATAGGACAGACAAGCTTGGTTCCTTGTCTGAAGCACGTGACGTGTTGAGAACTGCCCGACAACATGTCAAGAAGATTGCTCCACATATGCCTCAGCAGCAGGCTTGCATAGATGTGATTGAGCATGGAGTAGTTCATGGAGGATACAGTGGGGTTTTAAGGGTATTGCTTTTCTATGATAGTCTTTGTTAAGAAGGAAACATGCTTTCTTCCTTCCACTTTTATTCACTCAGTTTTTTGTCATATTGCGTTCAAGTTTGATATAAAAGCTTTTGCTTTTTCAAATTTTTTAAGTCTAGCATTGTTAGCATTCACAGTATACCTGGTTTGTGTAAGCTGTGATCAGTTAATTCAGTTTATATACAAGCTAATAACTAAAAACTAACTGCAGGAAGCAGAAGTTTTCAAGCAGTTGGTCATATCTGACACCTCGAAAGGCTTAATTAATGTCTTCTTTGCTCAACGGGCAATATCAAAGGTACAAGGCTAGATATGACCTTCCTCTCCTTGGATATTGGAATCAGAACCAGTACTGTCTTTCTCAACTATGATTAAATGACAGTGTTAGTATAACTGCAGTTTGACCTTTGTTTCGATTCCTTTTTAATTGTTTTTTACTAAACTAATCTGTTTCTTGTATAAGAAACATTTTTGAATACAGTGTTTCCCTTACTTCTCAAACCGTTGCAGTTCTACTAAAGTATGCCTGATATTAGGAGCTTGTTAATCTTTTGCTTGTGAACTATGGGTGGCATGGGAAGCTGAGTGCTGTAATTTATGTGGATGTGTGGAAGTGATAGTCCTTGCTCAGGATATGGATTATTATTATTATTGTTTTTCTTCCTGTGTCTTTTTCCAAAGTTTAACTATCCTCATTATACTTTCCAATATACTTCATATAAATAACTGATAAACCAATATATCATTGGTTCAGTTTTTAATATGGATTTCCCTTCCCATTGCTGAACTTGTGGAAACAGGAGCTGAGGATTTACTCAGGTTTATTTAATGTATTCACCATTCACTAACTACTGTCTTTTGGCAGGTGCCTGGTGTAACTGATATTGGCCTTAAGCCAAGAAAAGTGAAAAAAGCTGCTGTTATTGGGGGAGGTCTAATGGGTTCTGGCATTGCTACAGCTCTTATAGTGAGCAACATTCATGTTATACTCAAGGAAATCAATTCTGAATATCTTCTGAAGGGAATAAAAACAATAGAAGGTGATTATTCCTGTCATGTAAAGGAATTAGGAGTAATTGGATAGAGAAGATCAATAGTTAATTGGTTGATGCTGGTGACAAATTGTCAAGTTTCTGAGTATTGTCTTTCATAGTCCGGGATTTATATACAAATAACATGCTCAACAGAATTATTCTGATGACTTTTGTAATATACACTTGCTATCAAATGGGTGGTTTAATATGCACATCATCAATGGTACATATTCAGGAAATTGACTAGTATGCTGGCATTGCTATAGAATGCATGCTAAGAGTTTAATGCTTTGAACTACATGTTCTAATCTTCATATGTGAAGAAGGACTTGTTATTACAACATTGGTGGTATGTTCAGAAGGATGAATTGCTCCCTCGTAGACTTTTTTTGTGAAATGGAAGGAAAAGTGTAAACTACTTTCATCCTTGATACATATGATAATTTTGTAAGAATTTTTTCATTCCATTTTTGTTTCATTTTATATGGCAGCAAATGTTCGTGGCTTAGTAACAAGAGGAAGATTGACAAAACAGAAGGCAGATGGAGCACTATCATTGCTTAAAGGTGTTCTGGATTACAAAGAATTTAAAGATGTGGACATGGTAATTGAGGTCAGTTTCCTGAATCCTTTTTGTTTTACTTGGCAAATAGTTGATATGGTTTGGAATGTTGGAATTTGTATCCATTAGTGAAGTTGCTGAAGTTCTTTTTGTTATAAACATGTATCCTTCAGTTCATTTCCTTAGTTTCATGGTACCTAATACTTTGTAAGCAGAGGATATATGTAACATTTCTTTGCTGATACTGCTGTCTGGTCAAAGGCAATTAGCATTAATTTTCTCTCTTTGCAGGCTGTAATTGAGAAGATCAGTCTCAAACAAGCTATATTTAGTGATCTTGAGAAGTTCTGTCCTCCACACTGCATTTTAGCAACAAACACATCAACTATTGACCTTAACATCGTTGGTGAAAAGACCAGCTCTCAAGATCGCATCGTGGGTGCTCATTTTTTCAGGTCATTTAACACTTTTCTCTTGTTTTCTTCATTTTTAAAATGAACAGGAAAATATCGGTGCTAAACAGTAAGAGGGAGTGCCATTACCAGAATATAACAAATTCCATGTTAGAACTTATTTGTCTTTTTGTTTGCTTTGATAAGATTAATTAACCACACATGTTTAATCATTTATACCCCTTTGGCATCAATTCTACTTCTCAGAAGAAGGAATAGAAAGAGAACTTGCTTCTCTACTGTTGCAGTTTTGTTTTCTCTGGTAAACTATTTCTTGCATTGGTGTGAATGACTAAAACTGTGCATGTCAACAGTAGGTTCTATGATTTCTTTGGTCAGGAGCAAACAGACAGTAGAAATTATTCATTTCTATAGTTCAAAGAAATTTGATCTGTCAAGATGCTAATTTCAGGCTGGATTTGGTTTGAATTAGAATCTAATTGAGCTTTACGCAGAGAGAATTTAGATAGGTTACAACAAATTTGATATAAATAGGCGTTGAATTTTCAAATTAGTTTTTTGAGGTCTAATCCAGCTGAAGCTATGGTTATTTTCTAAGATGTTATTTTCTGCTGGAATGAATTGCTCATGTGCTTTACAGTTAATTTCATGACAAAAGATCCCAGTTTATCTTTGGTCAAAAGGGTCAATATAGCATCAATTATTGCCTCAAACATATATTTGTGCTATTGCCATATTGTTACTCTTTATGAATCTTTTTCTGCATACACTTTCCCAATGATGTAGCACTTCCTGAATTCTGGTAGTTTATGTCCTAAAATATAGAATCACATTGTAAATAACTGTTTGAAAACATATTTTATGGATGCTTTCTGACTTACTTCTTGGTGTACAGTCCAGCTCACATTATGCCCCTTTTGGAGATTGTACGGACTGATAAAACTTCTGCACAACTAATTCTTGATCTGATGATGGTTGGTAAAATCATAAAGAAGTCTCCTGTTGTGGTGGGTAACTGTACTGGCTTTGCAGTGAATAGAACATTCTTCCCATATTCACAAGGTGCCCATTTATTGGTCAACTTGGGCGTGGACGTTTTCAGAATTGACAGATTGATAAGCAATTTTGGCCTTCCAATGGGTCCTTTCCAGTAATCTTCTTCTCTTAGGATTTCTGTATATTCCATGACACTTGAAATATAATGTTACTCTTTCATCGATTGTTTAATCCATATTAATCCATGTGCACACACAAGTTAAGACTATGCTTATCTCAACAATGTCGTATCATTATCTTGAAGTTTCTTGTTTCAATCCTGTGTTATAAAAATTGTTAGAAGTTAATGTGGCCTATTTAAATGCACTTTTAAGTCTCAAGTCACTAACAATAAAATAAAGACTGTCTCAGAAAATTTGAATGGCTTCATGAACCAAGCATTTAAATATCACAATGTGGTTCTGTAGTATGAAGTCAACCTTTCTGTAACTTGCAGGCTTCAAGACTTGTCTGGCTATGGAGTTGCCATGGCAGTTGGAAAAGAATTTGCTGGTGCATTTCCTGATCGCACCTTTCGATCTCCACTACTCGATCTTTTGATCAAAAGTGGGCGAAATGGTAATAGTGGATCATTACCCTTTTTTAAATTATGATTTATTTGTACAAGGTACATCATGCATGCATCTGTAACTATTGATTTTTGTTCATGGTCTCCTCTGTCAGGTAAAAACAATGGGAAAGGATACTACATTTATGAAAAGGGTAGCCGACCAAAACCTGATCTCTCAGTACTGCCAATTGTTGAGGAGTCTAGAAGACTGTGTAATATCATGCCTGGTGGAAAGGTTCTTTTATTTTGCACTGTCAATCTGTCATATAAAGACTCCCATCTATACTTACATTGCATTGAAGTTGACATTATTACCTTCTAAGTGATGGTTTAATCTAAGCTTTCTCCCTCACTAGATGGAAAATAGATATTTGCTTCTCAGTGAGTGAAGAATACTAATATTGTTTGTTGTATTTGCAGCCTATATCTGTTACTGACCAAGAGATTGTGGAGATGATACTCTTCCCAATCGTGAATGAGGCATGCCGTGTTTTAGAAGAAGGAGTTGTTATTCGAGCATCAGACCTTGATATAGCATCTGTTCTTGGAATGAGCTTCCCAAATTACCGGTGGGCTTTTCTTTTTCTATTTTTCTCTCTTTTAAATTGACATATATAAGAAAGTGGACCAAGGAGACAGCTGAACATCTTGAAAAAAATACAATAAGGGAATAAAAGGAAACAACTGATAAGGAATAGCAACAAAAATAAAAAACCAAAAGGGGGAATTTGTTGCTAGAAGCCAAAAGATGGTACTGCTTAATTGTAAGAGATTTTATTGTTAATCCACTCTTAGTTTAGCATATATGCAGCACAAGACAACATTTTGTGTCGGAAAAAATGAAAAAGAGAATATGTTGCTGGCTCTATTCTAAGGACCAATGAAGTGCATGAACTACTAAGAAAGAGCATTATAATGAAGTCACCTGATTATTGTATACTTAATTAATAACAATTTATAAATTGTTTGAATTCCTTATAACCTGCACTTGTGTCTAGATTTCAAATTGTGATTGTTTTGAAGAATGTAATCAATAATCTTTTTATCTGCAAAATGTAGAATTGATAATATTCCTCCTGTTCTTTCATCCAGCACTTGTGTTTTGAGTGGTTTACATGCATTATCAGTCTACCTTGTCCTTTACCTTGTGTCTCATTGCAATCATTTCTGTGGCAGGGGTGGTCTTGTTTGCTGGGCAGATTTGGTTGGGGCTGATCATGTATATACCAGCCTAAAAAAATGGGCACAATTATATGGTAACTTCTATAAACCATCAAGGTATTTGGAAGAAAGAGCGGCTAAAGGCATTCCTTTGGTGAGATGCGTGTTCTCTACTATCTATTCAAATTTCTTGAAATTTATTTTTCTCAATCTCATATTTGTGCATGAAGAATCTGCTAAAACAATCACAACATAAGGTGTTTTTTTAATATTTATTTGAAGTTGGGGAGGGGGTGGGGGAACAACGCAGGGTGTATGATTTTCATTTAACATGCATTATGGCTATTATATATTTTTCAATTTATTCTTGTTTGCCTAGCTTTCTTGTGTTGACTGACCATATATGTATATATAATAAATATGATATAATTATCACGGTGCGGCCTATATCTTTTTGTTCTTGGGGAAAATATGGGATTTCACGATATACAAGATCCTTGGATTTATAAACAAATGATGCTTATTTTGTTGGAAATCTTTGTATGAATTTGGAGAATCATGAAAAAATGTATCTTTTCTGCATCACTTTGTTTTATTAGTCCAAATTAGGCTTGAACTTGGAGAGGGTGTCTTTCTATTGTGCTTGGTTTTGATTTGAGTAAAATTGTATTTACTTGTACTTGCAATTAAGCCTCTATTTTGTGTAGAAACCACTCCTTGAATTATTTAAACCTGTTTAAATTAAGAATGCCCTAATAATTTAATTATTAGCATGCAAGTGGGGCACCATTTTAAGGACAAAATATTAGTTTAACGTTGTGTTTTGTATTGCCTTCAGAGTGCACCTGCTTCATCTATTCCAAAGTCAAAGGCGCGCCTATGAGAAGGAAATGATTTCTTGAAGTATGCAGCATGTTGGATGTCATTGGATAGGAAATATAACTCGTTATATTTACTTCCTTCCAAATTTAAATTATAAATTGAGTTTGGTTTCCCAAAATTATATTTTCACCCCTACCCACCACAAAACAAAACTAGAATTTATGAAGGAAAAGAATTGTTTCTTGTGACGTGATGAGGTAAAGTCTTCGTCTGCTACACTTTGAACATGCATCTTCAAAATAATTATTGGGATTAACTACAATCCCCTCTATTGAACGCTCCTGAGAAGTATAAGCTGAATTCCTTCTAGTTTGGTATATATATATATATAAGCTGTTATATTGCGTTGGCTAATCAACGTGTTCAATGAAACAAATCAAGAGAGGTTTATGGTAGATTAGGGTGAGATTCACATTATTTTTTAGAATATGTATTTTAAAATTAATTCTATTTTATTATTCTAATTCATTTTTTTATTTCATTCTTGAAAGTAAATTTATTTTTTAATGTTAATTTTTCGAAATTAATTTTAGCAAATCTGATTAGACACCTCTATTGCATAAGCTAGTGTGACGAATGTTCGTTATTTTTTAAAATCCATTTTTTGGCATCTTTGGACAAAATAACCTCGCATTATTCAATTTGAAGAGTGAAAATTGAACGACCCAGATGGATAGCGATCGTTGAATGTCGTTATTTCAGTACTTTTTTATGTACCTGCTGTTCTTTTTTACCAAAGTTGTGAGTTATTCTGCAGCAATAATTGAAGGGATGTAAAATATAAATGGTGAAGAAGGGTTGAGGAAAAACTAAAGCAAAATATTATATAATGACGGAACTCTTAATTCAATTATTATGCTTCTTTGCTCCTATCAACTAAAAATAAGCAATTAACCTCTCCTAAATAAGACACAACACAATGTCAAATTCAAGATGTTTGAACACTAGGCCTAACCAAGGTCACTGACAACAACTTTTTGAATTACTAGAGCTAAAAACTCTACACTTGAAAGATTAATGGCAATACAAATAATGAAGCATATATGAATGTTGTAATGAAGAAAGCAGAGAAAAGGAAAACATGGAAAAGTAAAAACTAAATTAAAAAGTATATTCTACATTACAAGCTATGAAAGTCGGTCAACGCAAAATATAAGCGTTACACTTTATGAAATTACAACTCAGCAATTTACAAGCATCGCAATAAAGCAATGTTGAAGCTGAAAAATTAATTTAGATATGTATGAATGGCCGAAGAACAAGAAAATTGATAAAAGGAAAAATTTATCCTACCTGGCCTAATGGTGGGGCCTGTATGCTTGACTTACCTTTCAGTGAAGGTAGAAAATGAAGAACAGCAATGATTTTATAATTATGTAAGAGAGAAGTTCCATCTTGCCTTGAAAGAAATTCTTCTCATTTTTCCTTTCAGATCATACCTCTGCATATCCTTCTAACTCATTCTTTTCATATCTCTTTTTCAATCTTCAGCTTGGTCTCCCCATTTTCAGCAACATTACCAGGGATCATAGACGATGAAGTTGAGGACCTGGGTGGAACAACAGCTTTGGTAACACCATTGCTAGTGGCTCCCTGCTGAGGCACTATCTCTGTACTGGAATTTTCAACGCCATTGCTGCTGATTGGGTCCTTTTGACCCTCCAGTTCACTTCTGGCCAACGAAGAACACTTTGTTTCTGAAAATTGTGAATAGAAATTAGTCATTTTTAACAATAATGTATGTAATGCAGAGTACATGATCTAGTCATACAAGAAAACACTTCTACCACATACAAGTCCCCAGCATACAAATTTAAATACCTTTTCAGACTAAGGCAATCAGAAATTTCAGCAGCATTTCAAATGAAATAACTATGTAGAGCATGCCAGCCAATTCATTGATAATTCACTATCAGCTTGCTATCTGTACTGATGTAAATCTTACAAATGCAAAGTAGTTTGCTTTCTCTGCATGAGAGACCATCTTTAGGTCATGTTTCATAGCATCCTTCTATAACAGTTCTCCAATTAACAGTCAGCGAATGTAAAAGATCAGAGCACCAACAAGCCTAATTTCAATGCCTCAACTTTTAGCTTATTTTTAGGCAATTAATCCTCTTAGTTATCATGAAGTCTTGATAGCTATCATGTTCATTAGAAATGTATAATTTTGATGTTTATTGTTTAAGCACAAACAGTTGCAGAGGAATCAATGGAACATGAAAAATTGGCAGTTGAAGTATCATGTGTGGGCATGGCAACAAAGACAAATAAACAAATAAAAGCAGTTATTCAGATGTTTTTCAAAGCTAGGGGCATTAAATCATTAATTGCCAAAACAGAAAGTTAACTGTCTTTCTGTCAAAGCCCCAACAATACCAAATAATTTTTTATGAATGTTTTCTTAAAGTAAAATCATAACTAAAGAAGAGGAAAATATTCACTTGCCATTTATTTCTCCCATAGTGATAACCCTATTGAGAAAATCTCTAAACTTAGTTAAAACAATCCTTTCTTGCTCTGCATAAACCTGTGTCATTCCTTGCCCATAAGGAAATTGTGAAGTTGTATTGCAAGCATGGGTCATTGGCCCAGTGGGGGAGGCAGCTGTCATGAACATTGTATCTTGCTCATCACACATCAAGGCTAAAGTCCCAGGAGACATTGGCCTCCCTTTGGGGACATCAGCGCCATCTGAACTGGAATTTTCTGGGCTGATTTTATCTGTTTGGTTTGCACTCAAACAATCATCAGCCATAGCCTTCTCAATATCACCTTCCTTTTGACTTGGTAATTGCTCTTGAGTTGAAGAAGCAAGGGAAGTGTCTGTGTGATCTTCTGTATGCTTTTCCATTAAAATTTTCTGGTCTGATCATATCAATAACAATAATTGATAAGAAAAATAAATAATCAATGATGTACAGAGTAATAAGGCTGATATTACTTGGTATGTAATAAGAAGCATCAACTGAAAATAAAACTAAAAGGTCCTACCAACGCTATAGCAGTGTTTCATGAATTGTTTCCTAATGATCATTGGACAGGTTGACAGAAATTTTAGATGAACAAAAATGTCACTTTCCAAAACTAAATAAATAGATATCATAGGTACCCCCAATTTTGGGTCCCCCAACATTTTGAATTTTGACAACTATCCTAATGCATGCACAAAGTAGACTTTGTGACTGATTTACTTAGTTATTGAAGAGAATCCTTGATCTAACACATTAGAAAGAATGCAAATAGGGTAATTATATGCCATAAATTATTATGTAATTACTGTAACTTTAAATCCTTGTGTTTATTATTTTCAATATAAATAATATTCTCCACAACTTAATTGACTCACTAATTCTATCACCTCTTTATCGTCTCTCTCTTACTTAACATGATATCAGAGATTGTTGAGAGATAACCCTAATTGGGACAAACTTTTTTTCAGAAAAACCACTCACTGAGTGATAAAAACCAAGTCTCACTGACCACTGAACCATATCATGAGTTCTCGTGCAACCTCCATCCCCTTTTCTGGCCAAACAAATTTAGGCAACATTTAGCATATGGACCCATGGCTGTAAAACTTGTTAGTTAACCTATAAAATTGTATGAGTTTATGATTCCAAGCACCAAAACCAAGTTAACTTACTTACAAACTCATATAATACAGTAATTTGGAGTGGACTTGCATGGAATCGTAGAACGGAATCATGAGTTTAAGGACAACTGAAAAAGTCTAGAACAGGATGATTATCACCCCCGAACACCAATAAAACAATATTTTACTGTTTTTTGAACAACTCCAAAATGCAGCAGCTGAATGAGGGGTTGATTATGCATGAATATATTCAATCTCAAAACTGGACAAACATGAGTCCATAGCTGTGTCAAGCATCTGAGCATTAAGGAGCAAAGGTGGTGAACAAAGTTTCAACTAGAAGGCTGGAATGAACCCATCGCTGCAAATCTACAATAAACTAACTCAACTCCAACGCAGTGAACCCAACCATCGTCTTCATTCTTCAGTAATTCTAAACCGTGTATTTTTGTGAATTTGTCCATCAATTTTGAACTTATTATGCTCAATTTGTGTACCGACTACCAAGCTATTAACTTATCTCATGATTTTTAATTTGTTCATCAAATTTCAATCATTATGCTTTATTTGTGTATTGAGCTATGAACCTACGTTGGTTTGGTTATTTGATGAATTTTTAAGAGATAACTTTTAAATGAGCCAAATTGAAAGACATGTGATTGTTCCATCTATAATGAAAACTCATTAAATAGAACCAAAATTTTGGGCCTGTTTTGAAGAACAGGAAAAGCATGAGAACGTGCAAGGAATAGAGGCAAAGGCTTTCTCTTCTAGGTTGATATCATCCATTCATACAAGGAAGAATGAAGAAGATATAATGGACCTTCAAAGCCCAGTAGCACAAGTGATGATTGGTGGTGTACGATGTCAATATACCTGTAAGTGTCTTTGCAGTTTGTCCGGATACTAGCACCAGAACTGAGCAAAGCTCCTTGAGGTGTTGTGGTTGTATAATGTCAGCTAAAAGAGACCTTCAACAATAATTAAGTCAGAAACTAGGTGTAATAAATTTGTCTTCATTTCTTGTATATAACCATCACTACCTGTACATAAATTTTGAAGGACCTAATGTTGCAGTTCCAACACGAGCACCTGGGGCAGGTGACAAGGATGAGGAGGGTGCAATTGGACCTTTGACATGGTTTACCTGGTGAACATTCAAAATTATTTCATGATGATATTGTAAAAAATGTGTAATAAAACATGCCCATTAATCATGATAGCATTCACTGTAAATTGCAGCTAACAAATATTAATGACACAAGTCATGGTATTGAAACAGAAGTTTTAACCTCAGATTTAATCGTTTCTATTCCTTCAAATTTAAAATAAAGTTGACAAAACTAGATGGAGCAAAGTGCAATTTTGTAAAGCTTTAATTCAAGTTTAAATGCATCCTTTAAACAAAATGATAATGATGTATATTCCTAAAGAGAACATAGTTATGGGACTAAAAATTGTTTTGTCAACTGGCCTAACAGTTCTCTGTTTATCTGATTAATCAATCCCCTATTTAAAATAAACCCCTGTACTTGTATGACCTATGCTACAAGCAAATTTACCTGTTGTCCCAACTTGCTAATGGATGGATCCTTGGCTGTTGGCCAAAAGAAGAGTTCCTGACCTTTTCTTTTCTTTGATACTGGAGGTGATGAGTAGCCAGAGGAACCAATAGCTCCAGTTATGGCAGCATTTGCCGCTTGCTGAATATATGCCATGTTGTTATTTTGATCTCCATGAAACAAAGCCTGCCTCTCTTCACTTCCCTCAAAATTCTTGCAGTCCATGCATTTACAATTTTCAGAACAAAGAATGTTGGCTTGGAAGCATTCGCAGTACTTCTTTAGGCACCCAGATTTTTTACAATGACACCCCTTGTTATGTTTTCCTAATATTAAACCTTCTCCAACCTCCTCCTACAAATATTTTCAAATTCAGATAATCAGCACCAGAAAAATCAACTATGTTTTTTAGTACAAAATACAAAAAATATGCTCAACACTTATTCTAATACAAGGAATATTACCAAGTCCAGAAATCTTTATTTATCATTTATGTAGAGCATATATAAAGGCACTTGCCAGGTAATCTAATAATAAGCTCCTGTTATTACATAAAATTATACAATGGAGAGCCCAACTTTTGCAATGAAACATTGCTGTATAGGCAACAACAACAATCACAAAATCCTTATTCCACTAAGTGAAGTTGGCTATGTGGGTTACATGACTCCACTGTATAGGTGTTGAAAAAATATTACTTATCAGAGTAACTTCTAATTAGACTTTAAAATTTTCTATTAACTTCCTACCCTAAAGTTGCTTACTAAAGTAAATGTAGATAAGGAAACTAAAAACAAAATGAATTGATTTCATCAACAAAAAAATTTATTTTAGGACATTGACACAAGGAATAATTGGTCAAAATTATGACTTGACAAAATAAATCAACACAGTGAAGAGGAATTGGCCAATGACAACTAACACACCCAGTAGGAATATTTCATATCAATAAAACTTGTTTCTAGAATATTGTTTTTTCATAATTAACAATTATAGAATGTTGCACCTACTTGAATAACATGTTTTTCACAATGAAAAAGATCAAATGGAAAATGTGACCTCCAATCATGTACAGAGAATATTCCTTTACATTCCATAAAATCCCACAATGGACAGCAAGAAAAAGACATCAAAGATAATAGGACCAATGTCTTGCATCATCAACAAAGAATTCACAATATGCTCCAACAAAATAAGCACTATATCTAAAACCAATCTTATTATCATACACAAAATAAACATGATATATAACACAACCAGTCACAAAAAGTTAGATCTACGTACCCTGCTATCACGTGCTCCGTGAGGACTGTTTGCAATTTTGGGCCGAAATGCATTTGGATTGCGTTCCAAGGTAGCTTCAACAGCTTCTCGTCTAGCAGCTTCATTTTCAACATTGTTGAAACAATTTACACAGTTGCAACCATCACAATATATTCCCGATGCAAAACATTCACAATATCTGCTCAAAACATCTCTAAAGTTAGCTTCTTATAGCTTCCAATAAGTTGCAACAATGGAATAACCTCTGAAGGAAAAAAAATGACCGAAGACAGTAAATTTTTTCTACACGATACCGTTTCCAATTCTTTTCAAAGAAAAATATGCTGTTGCACCACAATAATTAAGATAAAATTGAGCCAAACTTTTCCCATGAGAACCAATGACTATCTTAAGACTACACAGGCATAATATAATAAAGAATTTTATCATGGAGTTCATCTTCCTTGCGTTTTCTGAAGTGTTCAATAATGTTGAATCAGCAAGTTAATCCCAAAAAGATTGGATGGTCATGCCCAAAGCAGGCCACTGATTCCACAGCTAACTATCTCAAGCTCTGATAAGAACCTTGGGAGAACCACACCACAGAAGCTAGTAGTCATAATTGGAGCACAAAGTCTTATAAATCTCACATTAGAATCTCATACTTCCAATGTGGGACTCAAGTCCCACCATGCAATTGGATCCTAACAAGCTCACTTGGGTATTTCACAGTACCCCATTTCCTGAATCCTGAGTTTATGCATCAAACACACCTGACCAATTTCAACTTCCTACATGCATCTAATTTTTAAGGGGCATTGACCAAACAAGGGGGACAATATCAAGAAAAAAGAAAACTAAAGGAACACAAAAAAAGGATCAAAATAGCAACAAGTCCTTTAATGTGAGACAACTTAACTAGCAACAAATATAAAAATCAAATTTCTAATTTAAAGTCTGTAAAGCGTAGGTATTGAACTATCTTTTCTCAGCATAACAAAAAGGAAAAAAAAATGATGATTGATGAGTCATTCATGAATCATGAAATTTCCTTTTTGGTTCATATTAAAAAAAAATACTGACAAGGAAAACATATTACTAAAATACTATGCAGAGCAACAAGACCAGAAACTTGTACAGAACAGTGGATAGCTACATAAGAACAACTTTGCATTTCACAGTTGTAAATGAGAAAACACGAGTGCGCACATGGCATGCACACATACCTACGCTAATATCAGCTTATACTACACAGACACATTTCCATATAGAGACAAGTAGAAAAAGAGAGAGAATTTTACTTACAGCTTCAAGCATTTAGAGTGTTTACAATTGCACTGCTTTTGCTTCTTTGGGGTAGCATCCTTCATCTCAAAGTTAGGTCTTGATTTTGATTTTGGAGATTCTGGTTTCCTGAAAAAGTAAAGGTTAGTTATTTAAAGACCAAAACATGTGGCTTGAGCTACTGCATTAAGACATTTGCAAATTGCCAGTCAATGCAGATACCTTCATATTGATTTACTCACAAACAGATCCATCCTTTCAAGCTTGTCAAAACATAGAGACAGCTACTCAATATCATGTTCAGAGTTATCATGTACCATTCAATCAAAACCTCTAAATGATTTACTACAAGAAGGAAATGTCTGATTCACTTCAAGCATTAACTTCTGAAATATATAAGCCTTACAATTGTCAAAAGAATAAAATTAGGGTGAAGATCATTCACATCATACAAGAAAAAGCCAGATATAGCTTGATATACCAAAAAGAGAAAATGTTAGAGGCACATTATAAAATTGGCCCCGAAAGAAAAAATATTCACTTCTCAATGATATGATCTAACTCAAAAGTGAAGAATACAGCAACTATAACCCTAGCTCCCAGCCCAACAGGAAAATAAATAGAACTCTTAATTGATGAAATCTTAATTCTCAAGTATTTTAGCTTCAAAAGTAAATAAATTTTAAATGGTACTAACTTATCCATAACGTAAAAATCTAGGAAGCCCAGATACTTTAAAATTATGCTATAAAGGCGTCAGATGTGTCTAATACCAATACCAAACTAGATACCTCAGATTCTAAAAAAATGGAATTTGTATTATTATGTAATGGCAAAGCTAAAACAATAATAACCAAAGCCTTATCCTACTAAGCGATTTAACTACTTGAATTGAACAATGCCATTGTGTTGTATCCAAAACCAGTTCTTCAGAGACACCATCTAATTCTAGATCGTTTTTAACTATTTCACATTAAGACTTTCATGGTCTACCTCTATCTCTAATTACTGGGCTATACTCCAATTGATCAACTCTCCCAACTAGGGCTTCTATTGGCCTTCTTCTCATGTGTCTAAACCATATTATGTGTGACTCAACCATATTTTTGCATGCCACTCCAACTTTCTCTAGTACATTTACTCCTGCTCTTATCTTTCTTATCTTTTCTTAAATGACCAATCGTCAAATGCAACATTTTCACCTTAGCAACACATATCTTATGCTCTTGTTGGCCTTTATCATCCATCATTAAGTACCCTAAAGCACCACTAGTTTGTGGTTACACAGTGAGATTTTCCTTCAAGCTTGAGATGCACTTTTTACCACAAATAACACTAGAACATTCTTTCATTTCATGCACTAAGCTTAAATACTATGACGTGCATTTGCTCCATTTCACCATCTAAAAAGATAAATAAACCTTTTTTCTCCGCTTTATTGCCTAATCATGTGGTGGTCCGCCCAACCAATGTCTTTTATTTATGACGTACTATGATTTGTGTTTTAAAATTTAATAAGATATATACAAGTTTTGCAAAAAAACGTTATGTTGTATCCAATCCTACCCATATACAATTGTCTATAACAAAATTCATATCCCCACATCATACCCATTTCGTATCCGAGAGACATACCCATATACATGATTGCATGCATCATAGGTAAGAATAAATTTAGAACACTTGCTTCTCATAATCGTATACCAACCATTAAAAGCTTAAACCCAAATGAAATTTACTATAAACAACTTCATAAATACTGTCCACCAGAAAATTTACGGGTCTAAGTTCCAACCAGATATAAGCCACTAAACAATTAGACCTCCAGCCGTCTTATTCCCACATGGAGATATTACAGTTACAGCAAAGAGGAAACTTCTCATTTGCTAATGGCAAACCATAACATTACACATGCATTGGAAGCTCACAAAAACAATAATAATAATAAATAAAATCTTCCAAACAAAACTGCAATTCCCGAGATAAAACCATTGTGACACAACAACTCGAAAATTAAAACCAACAAAAAGAAAAGGAACTTCAAACACTAGCTTCCAATCACAGAACTTCAAAACACCATTACTTATGAAACAATTTCAAGCATTCCCAAGAAACACAATTAAAATTTCACAAAGCACGTCCTCGCCACATCAAAACTAGAAGCAGGAAACGAATCATTTCAGCAAGAACCACACTCACACAGTTTCAAAAACTCACCCAACCCTTGCAGAAGCAAGCGGCGCCTGCGGCGGAAACGGCAACACCACCACCGGTTGCTGCGTCACAGTCTGCGGCTGCGATTGCGCATGTTCCGGCATGCCGGTGAAATCGAGCTGCCTCGCCAGCTTCTTCGCCGGAGCATCCAACGAAGCCGTTGCTACCGCCGCCGATACCACAACTTCAGCCACCGACGACGAAACATTCCTCGGAGCGCAATCACCTCCTTCACCTTCACCTTCCCCCATGGCACGAAAACTCTCACCGCGAATTCCAAATTCCACCGAAAACAAGCAACGATTACGATCTCTCCCTCACAGAAAAATCGAATAATTCGAAAAACCAGCTCGAATTCGCGGAGCTTCGCAAACCACGAACACGACGCATGGATTGGTGCAACTTTTCCGAAATTGAGAGAACCTTGATCCAAACGCGGCGCAAGAGAAGACGAAGCTGAGGAGAGAGAAAGAGAAGGAGAAGGTTGTAGAGAGAGAAGGAGAAGAAGAGAAGTGGGATTTGCAGAAGGGAACGAAGAAGAAGAAGAAGAAGAACACAACACACACTCCCTCTCTCTTCGAACCTTTTGAAAATTCAATTTAGTTGTAAATATTGAACGGCCAGATCTTGCTGCGTCTTTCATCGGACGGTTCAAAAACGCCTGATCCATCGAACGGTCACAATTCATAGAAGCGTGTTTTGGCTTTCGTTGGATATGAATATGATTTTTCTTCCACGAGGAAGCACCCCCGGGAAGGAATGCAACCATCTTTTATTCTGTTTTTATTTTTAGCATGCGTTTCGTTTCAAATTATTTAAAATATTATCAATATTTATATAATATTTTGAAAATATATTTATTAGTTTATTACTTAAGTTAACTCTTAAACTTCTTGATATAAAAAGTAAATATTTATCATCTCTGAGGCTCTTTTATTTTAAATCTTTTTTAATAATTTTAATAAGATTATTTTTAAATTATTTGATGCATTAACTTTTAGTTAAATGTGATACATTTATTTTTTAAACTATAAGATGAAAAAAGTTGTATGCCCATTATTTCTCTAGTTCACACTAATTAAGTAAAAAAAAATTAACTAAATATATATTAAATACTTAAAAAATATTATTTATAATACTTTATCTAACTCAAACAATATTTTGTTTGTGAAGTTTTTTAAATATTTTTAAAAATATTATCATTTGTTCATCATATTAAAAAGATTGAAATTATTTTATGATTTATTTTAAAAAATTATGAAATTAATTAAATAAAAAATTTTAATTAAAATCATTTTACAAATGAACTTTTATTTAATTTATTTTATTATAAGCTTGAATTTTTTTTAATATAAATACATCTTCACTTGTATTCCTTTTTTTCCTTAAGCATGCGGCATTATTATTATTTATAATTTTTATATTTACAAAAATATAAATTATTTTAAAGTGTAATTATATATTTTTTCTTTTATTATGATTACTGAACAATTTTATCTGACAATTTTTTGTAATTGTTACAATGAAATTCTAAATAATAACTTTATATTTACATAAAATTCTTATGAGATATTTATTAGTCAATTTATATTTTAAAGACGAGAAAAAATTATAATTGATGTTTAATCTTTTATGGCTAATTTAGTAACTTATTCAATGGTTTGTTTTTCTGAAGGAATTATCCGGTGCGACAAGCACCACGGTAGGTAGAGAGTTTGGTGGAGATGCGACATGTGTGCTTTGGCGGAATGAAGTCATAGCTGCTGGCTACGTGGGGGCTTCTGATTGGATGGCATCGAATAATTGGAAAACGCAAGACTGAAAACGAGGGATTCTTTTGTGATCAGCTTTTACTTAGCTAAATCTTAATTAAGTATCTAAAAATTAAATATTTTTATTATAAAAATATATTTAAATTATGTTAAAATATTTAACAAATGTTTATCATTATTATTATTTATATTTAATTTTTAATTTTATTATTAATATTTTATTATTATTACTTAAAAATATTAATAAGTATTTTAAGAATATCAGTTAAAATAAAAATATATTTATTAATCAATATTTTTAAAACTCTCCTTTTTATATGATAAAATTAAAAAATAAATAAAAATAAAAAATATATATTTAATTTTTTTATTTTCATTTACAAAATTTTAAAAAATTATGTTGAATGTTATACAAATGTTTTATTATGTTTTATTTTTCATTATATTATAATGATAAAAAAAATACAATCAAACAAACAATAACTTTTATTAATGATATTATAATTACAAAAATAAAATATAACATAACACTTTATATTAAAATTTTAATATAAGTTATCATATAGAATAATTTATAAATTGATTTTTCTAATGGATGTGTAAGAGAATGTGCTAAAAATGAAAATAACAAATATACTATTAAACTTGTAAATATATTGTAAATGTAACGAGGGTAGCTCGTTTGAAAATACAAATTTGTAGCATAATATTTGATTCAAGCTAAAGAACAATAATTACAACTTTATGTTGTAAAAAAATTTGATGCAACAATAGCAATGTATGAAAGTGGAAAAAGAATTATGATGGTGGCTTTGAAATGAGACTGAATTACTTAAACAATCTATACGTCGACTATCCACATCCTTCTATATCTCAGGGCTACTTCCAAGTTACAACAACTTTGAGATTGATCCTATGAATATCACCTAGATCTATTGCAAAGAACTCATGTATAATTTAAGAAAATAACTTATAATTTTCATAATTTTTTAAACTTATTCCAATGAACTTCTTAGAATATTTTATCAAAATTAACTACCTTTAATTAATTTCAATAAATTTTAAAGTTTGTGACACAGGTCATCATTAAAAAAATTATTAAATAAACTTTAATTAAACTATGTGTTTAAACACATCCATAGTTATGTAAGGAATATCTTTCCAACACTAAGACGCGGTTAAGCTTTACTCCTTATAAGCAAGTTAAGAAAAAATCTTTTTTTTTTTTGCAGGGTAAAATGACTAATCTTAAACTGATACAATATGGTGATTTAAGAAGCAAAGTCGCCTAAAAGTTGTTAACCACTGTTTTTTGTTCTTTTAAGCTCCATTTGGAAGACTAGCATGATCAATTTGAACTAAATATAAAAAAGTTAAAATGCCACCATTCAACATGTTTGGTAGTTGTGTACTGTCCACGTTTAACCATTGATACTATTTCGGAAATCAAAGTTTTATTTGTTAAACAAAAAAAGTAAACAAGCTCTTGGAATTCTTTATAGTAACAAAATGACAGCTGAATAATGTGCACCCCAAAAAACTCTTAAGGAACAGCATAATCAGCAACTTGTCAAAGAAAAAAAAAAGAAGAAGAAATATCATCTCCTCATCATTCTCATGCTATAAGCAAATACTGGCTCTATAATTAGATTAGAATTGTGAACTTTCTTGCTGGATTAGCATTTTTGCCACGATTTGAGCATCCACTTCAATGTGCATGAATTTTATCATGCAACAGAGCTTATTATAGTTGAGGAGACCACAACAAAAAATCAACTACATTCCTTACAAAACCTGTTAGCTGTCTTTCATGATGATCACTTACCAAGTTTCCTAATAAAACCTCAAGAAATCTCGATCCTTCAATTTACCAGGTTTTCTAAGATACTCTTCAGCAACAAGCTTGTGTCTTGTTTGTTATTACTAGCAAGTATATAAATGAGTGAACTCTTAAAGCTCAATTGTAAATCTTTGAAAAGGTAATTCCAATATGCTGCTCGGTTACGTTGGCAAATTCTATACTGTATCATTAATGATCTCATCTTTGAACACTTTCATATCCATCAGCCTAAGATCCAGAACCCCTTTGACTGGAATCTTGTGCCAGGTTTGGGAAAGGAAGTTGAACTTTGATTGATAAGAGAAGCAGATTGTGGTTGCTGTGTGGTCACAGCTTGAATATTGTTCCATTTTGACATGCACTTTTTGGTTGACTTGAAATTTGCTGGGCTCAGGGATGGTTACAAAACTTTTTTCATTTCAAACTGGGAACCAACAACCAAAACATTCTTGCAGTTGTTATCCTTATTTTTATCTCACTGTTTTGCTATATGAATGAACTATGACCTCCCCCAAGTGGTATTTTTGGCTTAAATTCCACATGCTCCATCAAGTAGGGGCAATGCCTGAAATTGACACACTGAAATAATGAAGAATGCATGGTCAGGTCCCAGAAGACAAGTGCTGACCACAAAGCAAAACATTACAAATAGAAAGAATTAAAATATTGGAAAGGATTTCTTGTAATTATTTGGTAACACTAATTATTAAGGATTATCAATATTCAGGAAGTGTCATGTGTAACCTCTTCCTTCCTACGGTAAATGAATTTAGACAACTTATAAAACAAGGAAAAAAGCGTAAATTTGTTATCACTATGATGGTATAAAAGTAACAGAGGTCAACTTACTGGAATGCTCAGTAACTGTCCTTGTTGATTGATCAGAACAGGCAGGCTTCTCCTTGCAGCAACTGGGATAGATTTTAACAACCAGAGAGCTTTTTTAGCCGATGCACTGGCATAGTGCAAACATGAATCTGTTTTCTCCATCATCTGGTTGGTTCTGTTCATCGATATAACTCTGTGTTGTGGAAAGCTTTTGGAAAGTGGATATTTTGATAACTCAGCTAGATACAACCAATCAGATTCAATCATGTGCCGCACCTCGGGCACTTCATTATGATTACCAATACAAGATGTGCAGTAAAAGCTACTCAAGTCCATGTCATAATCAACTAAATCAGGAATTGCATCTCTATCAATTTTATTGTTTAACTTCCATGAGAAAATGAATCGATCCATGAAGTAACAGAACTCCCCAGGCTGAAGTGATTTGCCAGAAGAAGTAACAGTTTCAACTCCATGCTTTGATGCAGATTCAGAAATAGCCTCAGTTTTAGACCTGAAGCGAGTGGTTTCTTGCTTCTGCAATACAAGAATACTGTTGTAGGTGGATTCACTGATTATGTTTAGTCTTTTGGCTTCAGTCAAAACTAACTCAGGATTCACATCCAAAAAGTGGATGTCTGATGCATCTAGAGCCAAGTTATTTGCATATGATTTTTCATCCTCTATAACTTTTCCCAACTCATTGGCAACCCAATACTCATGTTGTCCATAAGAGCACGGCTCAAAAAATTCCATCTTTAAAGGCAAAGCACAGTCAACAGAACAGCAAACCAGGACTCTGGCCCCTCTAGAACCAGGATCTGGGCAAAGGTAACAGCCTGCTGCTGTAATAGAGTTCTATGGGACAATTGGGAACAAAATGGAAAGTCAAAAACGTAGAAATTAATCATATATTTAAAGCTAAAATACTGACGCATCTGCTACCAAGAAAGGTAAAAGTAAAAGATCACTATAATCTGAGATAATCCCTTTTAGAGTTGTATGCAGTTAAGGCAATATTTGATAAACTTGTATGCTGTAGAAAGGAACAAAACCAAAGTGATGGAAGCAGATTTACCTTGCACGGAAAAGTGCGAATGTAGTCCAATAGCAATTTCAAAGCACTACCTCTGATTTGCCTCTGCCTTTGTGAGATGAACTGAAATAAGAAGTTTGACCACTATAACAACTAACAAAAGTATTTACATACAAATAAAGTTTCAAAAGAAAAATACATATGTAAGATCAGAAGTACCTGCAAGACCAAGGAAAGAAACTTCATCAGGCATATGTCCTCAATTTTCAAAGGACAAAGAACCTGTAAATCAATAACAGCATACCCAAGCTGCAAACAATTTTCAACAACCAATCCTCACAGGAGTCAAGAGTAAATCTCAGGGAAATAGATTAATATAACTTAAGCAACAAAAGGAAGTATTTGTATTATTTTCATTGCAAAATCAACATAGCTTGGATGCTATTCCATACCCAATTTCAACTATTAATCAAGTAAGCAATGATTGGAATTAGTAGTTAGATGATACTTACATCCATGATAACCACAGCATGATGTAACAAGCTATAGCAAATTTGATCAACATATGTGCGTGTTATTCGACATGCAGAAATCACTCTTTGGAGCTCAGACTTGAATGCAGCTGGAAAAAGAAGAAACCAGTCATTTAGGCAAAGCCCTGGTTTGCTGTATGGATCATGAATATACCAAGGAATCATAACAAATCTTAGGTACTGTATTTATGATAGTCATCTTATCCTTAAGGTGAGTCAGCCTACTTATCTGTTTGCACTGAATGATCAGTTATTAATGAACTGAGGATATTATTTTTCCAATTTTCATCTTCTATCTCCCCTCACTCTCCTCATAGATGAATTTTGCTGTTTGTGTATTTTTCTCCCAGCCTTTGTCACTTTCCATATTTGCTATAATTATAGATAGAGAATTGACTCTTGATAGAAACTGAAGGCTTATTTAGAAATTAGTGAAGCTCTAATTAGAACAACAGGAGGAAGGATATCAAATCCTCCTTTGACAAAACTAAAAAGAAGCCCAGCCACCAACCAGAAATAAAGCCAAAACCTCAAAATAAAAACTAGGAAAACAAATAACAGTCCAATTGCTGGGCAAATCTACAAGCAGACTCCACACAAGAGTCCATGTGCTGAACAAAATAGAGTAGCAGAGTTAAATAAAACAATCTTGTCCCAAAGAATGACTAAGGATAAGATTAGAGACCCACCTTCATTTTCTCCCCCTTTACCCCATATATTGATATTTTTTTAATTGCACATGCACTAGAGTGCTGGCTGGAAGAACTTTACAAATTCTCAAAATACCATTAAAGAAGTCACGAATCTCATCATCACAACTTACAAGATGACAAATTATTCAGTTCCATTCGAATCCTATTACGTGTATATAATGGGCTTTGATTTGTTGGGTCTTCTACCCATTCCTCACTACCTCCTTTGCATATCTGTAAAGATAAAAAAACACAAATGATCAAAGTTATAAAGTAAGAATCAGATGGGTGAAGAAGGCAGAAAAAGGATGAGCAATGCATAAAATAAATAGATAAATTGTGCCAACCTTGTACATATCTTCCTTTGAAAATTCCAGAAGAGGCCGCACAAGAAGGATGCCCTGGTTTGCCAGAGCTTTGCAATGGGAATGTGCATGAGTAGGGAAAATCTGGGAGGTGAAAGGCATGCCTGCAAGTCCAAGCACACCACTATTTCGAGAAAGCCTTAAAATAAATAACTCAGCCTGCATTGTTTCTCAGCAATCACTACTTGTCTAACAATCTTTTAATCTTGCAATCAACTTAGAGGATGATAAAACACCTCATTAATCCATTTCCCACTAAAAAATGAAATTGTTTCTTCAGAAAAGTATTAATCAAGTAAAGAATGTTTATGCCCAGACATAATTGAATTACTTTATCACCACAGGCAAAAACTATCTTAAAAGCTCTTAGCCTCCTACACATATGCAGTTCATCAAACTAATCTGGCAGAATGAAGAATCAATGGATGAAGAAAGTATTATCAATTAAACCTGATCATCAGCATGATGTGCAATAAGCAACACCCCAATCCGGTGTTGGGCACAAACTTCATGAAAGATATGGTATCTGAATTTCAAAACACCAAAATATGCAATAAGTATACATTATCAAATTCCCAGTACAGACATCTAATATTTTCTCAATAAAAACATTTAGATACAATAACCTCATTTCACGAGCAGCTTCCTGCAATTGACCCTGTTTCGGCTTGCCATTTGGCCAATCACAGCTGGCAATCTCACACCTGATTCCTGCATGAAGTGTCTATGTCAGCCAAGTATATAGCTGGCTTAAGAATTCAAGTCACATTACCAAACTAAGCAATCATACAAGAATAAATTCGCTAATGTTAAATTTTCACATCACGTTGTCATGTGAAAATTCCATGCATATCTTTCTCTTCATAAATGTCCACAAATTTTGATAAAACCTTGGCTATTTAACGTTTATGAAGAAAGAGCTAGAAAAAACAAATGCACATGACAAAATCATATCGAAAATTTAACATTAGAGAATGCAGTGCTGCAATCACAGACACAACAGCCAGCTGGACACAAAGTACCCATTTCAGAAACACGGTGAGAAACAACGCCGGCCTCGCCTTTGCTCTCTGCACGTAGTCCATGATCAACAATTATAGCTAGTAGTCCGTCTATGAAACCACCACTCTCAGTGCTGACAACATCAGCACAAGCAGTTTTCCATCCAGCAGTTAACATACACAGTGCCATACTGTCAGGGCCACCAGAGACTCCCAAAGCTGATAGGAAAAGAGCCATCACAACATCAAACAATCAACAAACAATGCAGTGAAAACCAGGAGGTTCATTGCATCACTTGCAAATTCACAATATCTTAAAAATTTCTTCTTCTTTTTTTCACCATTTTCAGATAGAGTACAATTTATGAAGCAAAATTCATCAACATATTATTTTTATGTTTGATTCTGACAGAAAGGGTACAATAAAGTTGGCAAAAATTTCCAAAAAAGATTAAATTTTTCGAGTGGGACAAAGAGAAACTCACCAATTCGGTGGTGGGGTTTGAGTCCAGCCATGGCCATTCTTCTGGAAAATGCTTCTCTGTATTTGGAGATATCAATTGAGCATTGGGAAGGTGATGCATGAAGTTGACAGTGATGGTGCAAAAGTTTAGAACAGAGTGAAAGATTGAAACTTTTTAGGGGGGTTTTAGAGAAAGAAGAAAACAGAGAAGTTGCAGAGAGTGTTGAAGAAGATAGGATTAACCCTCGCGCCATAGCCACTTTCTTTAGCAACAAAAATCACTTGCCACTGCCCATCCTAAGTTACTAAGAATTTTTTAACTCCTTACTTCTTAGTTAAATCATTTTTATTTATATATTTATTTTTTCTCTCATTTATATAAATTTATTATTAGAGTTTCTAATCATTATTCTTATAATATTACTATTAGTTAGTTAAGAATATTTATCAAAACATAAAGATAAGCACAAACAAATAAAAATTAATTAAAAATTACATAATGATATCATTATATTATTTTTAAAACATTGATTAATATTTTCTTACAAGATATAGAAGCAGGTGTAAATACAAAGACTTGTTTATGAAAACGTACTTTTTTTAAAATTTCATATTATATTGTATCACTTCATAATAAGAAATCACAAATATTATCTTTCTCTCCTTAAACGAAAAAAAAAGTTTTTATTACGTAACTAAAGTGAAACATTTTTTCTTATTTGATATGATTTGACATGATAATATATATATATATATATATATATATATATATATAATAAATTCAGATATGATATTAATTACTTGAAGTTGAAATTGAAAAAAAAAGAGTAGATAATTAACAGTGGGAGGAAAAGAAAATGCGAGAAAAACAAAAAGAAAGAAGCTAAGACGATGATTCAGACAAGTGAGCCAAATTGAACAGGAAAAGAAAACAGAACCAACCAACAAACCACAGTGTCACAGAAACATTAACCTCTTTCTCTCTCTTTCCGTGAGTGTGTGTCACTGTTGTTGTTACGACACATATACAATAGTGTCCAATGTAGGAAGAGGAACAAGGAAGGAACCACCAATCTCCATGGCCATCACCACCCAATGGAACAAAGCATCCATCTTTCTCCTTCTTCTCTCTGTCGCACTCTTCCAAACCCTAACCCCCAATTCCTCTCCACCACCTCCCAACTACATTGTCGGATTCCTCCACTACCACACCGCCGACCACCACCGCGCCTACCTCGAATCCACCCTCGGCAGCACCGGTTGGCGGTGGATCCCGCGGCAGAACCCGGCGGCAAAGTACCCCACCGATTTTGGGTTGGTCTCGATCCACGATTTGGGGCTGGTGGAGGAGATTCGGAAACTAGGGTTGGTGAAGTACGTGAACTTGGATATGAGCTACAAGAGGGGTTTGATGAATCATCAGAGAGACAAAGTTGGTGCCTTTCACAATGGGAAGAAGCGCCCTGGGAAGATCTTCACAACGATGTCGTTTTGTGAAGCTGAAGGAGAAGAAAAAGAAGAAAATTCTGGCAATCGCAGCAGTTCCATCAAGTGGGGGCGGAAGTTGTTGATGCAGGTGAAATTTGATGGTTTTCAAATGTTGGGTATCTTGGGGAAGAAAAAAAAAATAGAACTTTGATAATGATTATGATTATTAGGATTATTTTGTGTATGTTGAATTGAAGTTGTTTTATTTATTTATTTGTTTGTTGAGTGTTGAAAAAGTGGATGGTTTGAGATGTTTCTTTTGGTGGCAGAGATCGCAAGTTACTTCGATGTTTGGGGCCGAGGATCTTTGGGCGAAAGGGTACACTGGTGCTAAGGTTAAGATGGCCATATTTGATACTGGCATTCGAGCTGATCATCCTCATTTCCGTAACATTAAGGTAATTTCTTGTTTGCTTGATTTGGAATGGGTTTATGGGTTGATAGTTGATGAATTGAGAGTTGAGGAATGGCGCAGGAGCGAACAAATTGGACCAATGAGGATACATTGAATGATAATCTTGGACATGGGACTTTTGTTGCGGGTGTTATTGCTGGTGCAGATGCTGAATGCCTTGGTTTTGCACCTGATACCGAGATTTATGCCTTTCGCGTGTTCACTGATGCACAGGTAATGCCTGTTGGACACTATTATTTAACTCTTTTCTTTCTTAGGAAAGGGGGAGGGTGTTGTGTTAAACTATTCCAGTTTAACTACATCTAAATGGCATTTCAGTTCATCAAAAAATATCTTCATTCCATAAATGCGTCCAATAAATGGATGATATAATCATTGGAAATTTGTTAACCAAATAGAGTAATCATTAAACAAGCTCTAAAAAAGAGAACATGGATGCTTTTGGACCAGCTTATGAATGCATATTAACTTGCATCCACCCGCCCCTGCTTATAATGTTTTAATTCTAGAATAATTGGCAAGATTTTGAGAAGATTTCATTCAGCCTATGGCAGGTGTCATATACATCATGGTTCCTTGATGCCTTCAACTATGCAATTGCAACCAATATGGATGTGCTAAATTTGAGCATAGGTGGACCTGATTATTTGGATCTCCCATTTGTTGAAAAGGTAAATTTCTTGTGCCTATCAGCTCACTAATTTGATAGGATTAGTTGTATTTTATAGTTTGAGGTGGCAAACTACAAAAAGTATTACTTATGAAGGTATGGTGGTATTACTTCTTGAATAATGATGACAGGACATGTTATTTTCTCCAATGTAACGTTTGCATTTGAGGAAGCTGTTCATATACAGGCAATTTTTTTTCTTGCTTTGAGCATTTCAGTGTCCTTTTATAGAGCCTTATGATGCTAATTTGTTGACCAGATATGGGAGATAACAGCAAATAACATAATCATGGTTTCTGCAATTGGAAATGATGGACCTCTGTATGGAACTTTGAACAATCCAGCAGATCAAAGTGATGTCATTGGTGTTGGTGGTATTGACTATAGTGACCATATAGCCTCCTTTTCTTCACGTGGCATGAGTACTTGGGAGCTTCCTCATGGGTAATATTTACTTATTAGTTTTTATGGCTCATATTTTCATCAGTTCTGCTTCAACTAGCATTTGTTGAAATTGTCTAATGTAGATTTCTGGTATTTTTTCTAGAATAATATTCTAAGACGCCATGTTATTTTGAAAAATGCTTTTATTGGATGAAGAATGAACATTTGAGTTCAAACAAATTAAAATCCTTGTCATATGTTATTTCTGTAACTCCTTTAATGTATATGCAAGTTTGATTTCTTACTTGCTGATAAATTTTAAATTTTATATTGACTTCTTTACATTGCAGTTATGGCCGTGTGAAGCCAGACATAGTTGCATATGGGCGGGACATAATGGGATCAAAGATTAGTGCAGGTTGTAAAAGTTTATCAGGCACTAGTGTTGCAAGTCCTGTAGTTGCTGGTGTTGTATGTTTGCTTGTTAGTATAATTCCTGAACCTGATCGAAAAAAGATCTTGAACCCAGCAAGCATGAAACAAGCATTGGTCGAGGGTGCTGCAAAGCTTGCTGGGCCTAACATGTATGAGCAGGGTGCTGGCAGAGTTGATCTGTAAGTTCTATTTAGCTTTCATCTTTATTTTGTTTCAAGATATATGGCAATAGTTGCAGACTTGTTATTACTATTGTAATTATCTTTCCTTAGATTCTTAAATTAATTTTCATGTCCCTGTACTTTTCAGGAACTTTTTAAATAGATTTTGAATTGTGTTTCTATTGTCTTCTTTAGGGTTGTAACTTGTAACAATAGACTAGGTTCAAGGACCCCATTCAAAAAGTTGTTTAAATTTTATCAATCCACTGTAGGGATATATTTAAAAATTCTTGAGAAGTACAGGGACTTGAGAGATTCTTTAATTGTTCTTTAATCATTATGTTTTTTTTATTTGTTAATTTTTCAGGTTAGAATCATATGAGATTCTTAAGAGCTACAAACCTAGGGCAAGCATCTTTCCCAGTGTTCTTGATTATACAGACTGTCCTTACACATGGCCCTTTTGTCGTCAGCCCCTTTATGCAGGTGCCATGCCTGTCATCTTCAACGCCACCATTTTGAATGGAATGGGTGTTATTGGCTATGTTGAAAGTCCACCAACATGGCATCCTTCTGCAGAAGAAGGGAATCTTCTAAGCATACATTTTACTTATTCTGAAGTCATCTGGCCTTGGACTGGTTATTTGGCCCTACACATGCAAATCAAGGAAGAAGGTGCACAGTTTTCTGGAAAGATTGAAGGTAATGTGACTCTCAGGGTTTCCAGCCCTCCAGCACAAGGAGAGAAGGACCCTCGAATTAGTCTGTGTGTGCTTCGATTAAAGTTAAATGTGGTGCCAACACCATCTCGATCAAAACGAGTTTTGTGGGACCAGTTTCACAGTATCAAATACCCACCGGGTTATATTCCCAGAGATTCCTTGGATGTTCGAAATGACATTCTTGACTGGCATGGCGATCATCTACATACAAATTTTCACATCATGTTCAACATGTTACGAGATGCTGGTTACCATGTTGAAACACTTGGTTCTCCTCTTACATGCTTTGATGCCCGACAGTATGGAACACTTCTGTTGGTGGATCTTGAGGATGAGTACTTTGCTGAGGAGATTGAAAAGCTTAGAGACGATGTTATAAATACTGGATTGGGATTAGCTGTCTTTGCTGAGTGGTATAATGTTGATACCATGGTAAAGATGAGATTCTTTGACGACAATACACGGAGCTGGTGGACCCCAGTCACTGGAGGTGCTAATATTCCTGCACTTAATGATCTTTTGGCTCCATTCGGGATTGCTTTTGGAGATAGGATTCTGAATGGTGATTTTTCACTTTTGGGTGAGCAGAATCGATATGCTTCTGGAACAGATATAGTGAGGTTTCCAAGGGGTGGTTATGTACATAGCTTTCCTTTCTTGGATAGTTCAGAAAGTGGAGCCACACAGAATGTGCTACTTACTTCTGGCTCGACCAAGGTGTGAGATGGCATCTTCTATTTCTCTAGTCATTATTACTAATATTAAAACAAAGATTGAGAAATGTAGCCTCCAAAGGAAAAACAAACAAGTTAAAAATCTAATTCCTGAGCTCTTCACAACCAAATGCTGCATGTACAAAGATATTTGGCATGATGAAATTGTAATTTGTTTTGTAGCAAATAACGATAAATAACTAATCATCAATCGACTCTAAAAAGAAGTTATTAGAATGCCATCTTTGAAGTTTGAACCATGATACCTTCATCATTAAGATACTTTCTAATTTTGAATTATTCTCTTCTGGTAAAACAGGCAGATTCTCCAATTCTTGGTCTCACAGTGATGGGTGAAGGTCGCATAGCGGTGTATGGGGACTCCAATTGTTTGGACAGCAGCCACATGGTTACCAACTGTTTTGTGCTTCTGAGGAAAATGCTAGATTTTACTAGTGAGGATGTTAGAGATCCAGCACTTTTCTCTGATTCAAATAAACAAGATTCTCCCCTATATGAAGATGACAAACAGTTGCCATCCCGCAGAACTGATGTAAATTTCTCTGCATATTCGGCTGTTACGGGGAAGGAATTGATCTGCCGGACTGACACACGGTTTGAAATCTGGGGAACTAAGGGCTACAGTTTGCAAGTCAGAGGAAGAAACAGAAGATTGCCCGGTTATCCTGTCATTGATTTGGGAAGGGGTTTTAATTCAACCTTTGATGCTTCTAACATTAGGCGTCCAAGGTTAACCACGAGAAAGAAGGATGATTTTCGAGGGAATAGGTATTTAGGCCTGTTCTATGGGGATGAGGTAAGAAACAGAAACAACCATTAGATTGTTACATCTTGTTGGTATGTATGTTTGTTACTAGATGCTGTTTATTGCTGATGTTATGAGTTCTTTTGATAATTCTTGCAGCCTGATGCACCTATGCTGGTTGGTGGTCACTGGCTTGTTCCTGCTGTTGTTGCAGCAACTGGTTAGTAAACACATGCTTTACCATACAATTTAGGGTGTGTTTAGATACACAGTTTAATTAAGCGTTTATTCAATGAATTCTTTTAAAATGATGGCTTGTGTCATAAATAACCATGAAATTTATTAGAAAAAGCTAAAAACAATTTATTTTGATAAGTTATATGAAAAGTGTATTGAAATAAGCTAAAAAATGCTTATAGGAAATTAGGAATCAAGCTAATTTCATAAGTTGTACATAAGCTCTTCCAAACACGTCTTAATTTATGTATCTATATCTATGTATGCTTCATGACTCTTTATGTTGTGGCAGGTGTTTTGCTGTTGAGTTTTTGGCGCATTCGCCAAAAGAGGCGTAGGCGAAGGAAAGGATCAAGCTCTGGTAGATTGGCCAATATATAGTCTAGCATTACATTAATGTAATTGTAACACTAGCCTCCAAAGAGATTACCCTGTAGCATTAGCAGCATAGTAACATCATTCATGAGTTCTTCCATCAACATCGCTGTAGGAAAATAGCCAAATAAATTACCTTTTTATTCCATATAGAGTTGTAACATTTTTGCTGTTTTGGATGCTTTTCAAATGCACAAATTTTCTGATAGTGAAATAATTTATGTCAAATGTTCATGATTATTCGTTGAGCAAAGTGTATGGCTAATTACTACGTAGTTTTCTTTTTCTGATTAGTTTTTTATGTCAATATTTATATTATTTTTTTTTGGGTCAAGTATAAAATTTATTATAAGTAGCAAATGAATGGTCTCAAGCGTTGGCCCAAGTTGAAAATTTCACCAGTTGTTGATCATAGAAAAAAAATTATTTAAATTAAAATAGTAAGAACTTGTTTGTTTTCGGTTTTTTAAAATAAAAAAATTTGTTAATAAAAAATTATTTTCATTTTTTAAAACAATTATATTTCTTTAAAATTAAAAATCAAAACAAAAACAAACTAGGCTTAAATTATTTAAATTTTTGGATCGAATCCAAACAAGCTCTATGTAACAAGGCAATTATATTTAACCTCCCTTTGGACTTCTTAGGTTACAGCCCAGCCATTAGAGACCAAATAAAAAACTGTATAGAGGGACATATTGCTTACACCGTGTTTGGTTAAAGGGAAAAAGGAGAAAAAAAAATGTATTCAATTACTTGGTTAAAAATTTGGGAGGAGATGAGAGGAAAAGGAGGTTAAAATTTCACTTTATTTAATTGTTATAAAATTTGGAAGAAAGAAACGCTTTATACATTGATTAAAATAAATTATTGTTAACTTAATAATATATTTATTTATTGCATTTAATAGGAAAATAATTTATTTTTCTTCCTTTTTCTTGGTGAGTCAAATAAGATGTGTCTTCCTCTCCCCTCCACCCTTTGAATAGTTGAACCAAACAATACATATTTTGGGTTGAAGGAGGCAAATTATCAAAAGTCAAAAGATAAGAATTGAATCTATAAAAGTGTTATGACTGTATTTATTCTCAACCTTTCAAACTGTTGTATTGTTTCTTCCTCTTAGATTTATTCATTTTGACTTTTTACTAAAATATTTAATTTTTCACTTACAATTATATGGGAATATAGTTTGAATTTCTTCCTATTTTTTTTTATTTACTTATTTATTGCTGTTTCTTTTATGGATTCACATCCAAGATGAGTATAATCTTTTACTAAATAATTACTCAAAGTGGTTTATTTTGAATTGAGTAACCACTAAGTGAGTTTTCTTTTTAACATGCCACTGATCAGTGATGACTAAGTGATTATTTATAGTTTCTTTGGATTTGCGGTGGGAGACGTGTATGTTTAAGGAAAGAAAATGTGATTTTAGTTGTTTCACATTAAGACTATCTAGAAGAGTAAGAATAGTTCGTAACATAATTTATCAAAGCTCTTTTATTTTAATAAATTTATTGGTATAATTTATTAAAATAAGTTTTTTGGTACTGAATAACTTTTGTGATTAAATTTGTGACAAATTACTTAAAGAAGTTTTTAAATAAATACTTAATTAAGTTAATCTAAAATTATTTTATAAATATCAATTTTCTGTGAGGATTGATTAAAGAAATAAAAGTATTTTATCAAATATTTTCAAGTAAAAAATATAAAGGATATTTAATCTTTCTTTAAAAAAAAGTCTCAAATTATTTAATAATATATAGTAACTGTTTCCTAACTATTATTTTTAGTACACTCCTAAACATGACTCAAACTGTTTCATTTAATGTTTATGTGAAAATTTATAATTTCTTCATTGGGATTTTTATATTAAATTTATTACCAACATTTTAAGACCAATTTTTAAACAACCATTTAAAATTTCACTTTTTGGTATGCGACTTTTAGTATTTATAATTTATATAGATGTGACTAACTCAAAAAGGCTGAGTAAACTTATTTTGAAAGAACAAAACCCTCCAAACCGATTTCATCCACTCATGACAAATCCAAATCCATATTTAAGAAAAAAAAAATTCTAATTTTGCTTCGGAATGGAACTCACGATTCTATGTTGATGTGCACTTTGACATTTAATTTTCATTTTAAATATTTGATATGGGAAGAATGTGAATGCTGACTTTGAAGAAACCGTGTTGTGTATACAAAAGAATAGATAGAAAGTGGTCAATATCTCCTTTCTCCAAATGGAATTATAGCAGCTAGTTTGCAGCTGTCTCTTTTTAATCATTCAACGCATGTGCCAAAAATCCAATCCTTTATTGGGTCAACCAAAAATCCAATTTTTCATGTCATTGCAAATTCATTATCCGACATGCCTGAATCTTACAACCCATATGGAAGTATGATATTGACCAAAAAAAAATTAATTAATTAACTTCATTTTAAGCTTATTTAAAAGAGCTTATTATGAATAAATTATGACTCTCAATCTCCTTTTAACCCATTTCAATGAGCTTCCTAATATAAATAATCAAAATTAATTATTTTTAATTTATTTTAATAAATTTAATCATTAAATTTAGTATAAATTATCGTATAAAATACTTATTTAATAAATATTCAAATAAGTTGTATATAAACACACCCTTACTTTTAGTCAACAGTTTTATTCCTAAACAAAGAAACCAAATCAAATGAATTACATTTGTAATTCAAAAGGCACACTCCTATATAGGACGATTTGAATATCTGCCGACATGCTTTTCCTAAGCAACATAGTGTTCCCACAATTGCAAGCTAGCATTGTTTAACACAAGCATACCTCTAAAAATAATGTGGATGCAGCTCATTGTCTTCTGTAACAAAACAATTAGGTAAAAAATCATCATATTTTTTAGATTCGAGACACTCAAGTAAAGACCTTACAAAAAGGTTTGATACAAACACATTAACAAAACCAACCCACAACCAACTACCAGCAAATTGACACATGAGCAACAATGGAAAACAAAGTTGATGCAATCCATTTCCAACACTTAGCTGAATAAGAAGAAAACAAATGAAAGAATCGAATGTGTTATTTTGATGTATACCCTGATAAATACAATTCAAAAGATTATCATTTGTGAACAAAAAATTAATAATAGTAATTGGGAAGTCTCTCAAACATGTCAGTAAAGCAATCAACTGTGACATTGGCAAGAAATCAAGGATATATAGATTTATACAAGATAAAAAGCATACAATTGTTAAGCTTCAAGAGCTTCCACTGAAACCTTGACTGTTCTTCATCTTTCTCATTTCCATTTCCCTTGTGGTCTGGCGGCTCTGTGCTTCACTGCTTGAGCCAGATGGGTTTAAACCATACTCACTTGTAGCTGCACTGTACTCACTGCTGGCACCATACTCTTGAGTTCCCAATGCCATTCTTCTGAACTTTTTCATGTCTTCCTTGTACTGTGCAGTATCATAGTCTGAGCTTTCATGAGAACTGTACATAGTACTGTGTCCAGGTCGGATTCCTTCGTTAAGATCGGCTAGAGACACGTCTCCTTCCAAAGCTCGAACAACCTATGGCGTGTGCATCATTATTAGAGTCAATGGAAAGATTCTCCCATATAGCAGGATCATATTCTAGAATCACATGCTAATTCAAGATTCTTCATTCTAAGTATACAAGACAGCCTATTGGAGAATCAGATGTTAAATGCCTGATGAAAGACAACAAGTTTCAATACCTGGCTCATCCTTGGTCGACGTTTTGCGGAATGACGTGTGCAAGCCGCAGCACATGCCACCATGCGTAGCATCTCATTAGGATCATATTCATTTAGGAGCCTTGGGTCAATCAGAGCATCAAAATAGTCCTCTTCCAAAGCACGTGTGAGCAAAGGCCTAGCCTGTGATGATAAAGATGGATAAAGTTAAAGAACTGCTCTATGGCACCTTGTTCTCCTCCAATGAAAATATAAACCTCTTTTTCAAAAATGTGTGTTAAATTTACTCATTAGGCCTAGAAACAAGTAGCACTGTGATACTTACCCAGTCTACCAAACTATCCTCCATGAAAGTTTGAGTTTTATCAACCGGACGACGTCCAGTTATTAACTCAAGGAGCATGACTCCATATGAGAAAACATCCGATTTATCTGTGAGCTTTCCACTGGAAGCATATTCTGGTGCCAGATACCTGTAAGCAGCAATTGATGCATGACTATGAGCTTGATAAATATACAATGCCAACCAACAAAATATGATTCGGCATTCCTCATCAACTGTGACGTTAATAGGTAACAACATCAATGTAAATTGCACTATAGCACAGGGTGAAACAAAGAGAGTTCATTTGAAAAGTGGGAGCTATGATGCTATTATCTCTCTCTCCACATATCATTAAAGAATAGCATAATAACAGCTAAAGACTCTATCTCAAAAACCACCACATAGTACACTTCATTCAATCTATTAATAATGGATACAAACGAACTACTTTTCATAATGATGAGAAGATAGAAGTTTGTTCGTACCCAAAAGTCCCCATCACTCGAGTAGAAACATGAGTATTGACATCAGAAGAAAACTTTGCAAGACCAAAATCCGCAACCTGCCAATAGAAAACAATGGATACGACATCAATCTAAATATTCACACTTGTACTAAACAATTCTGTCACGGTTTTTCATAACACTTTAAAAGGGTGCATCATCACAACAACCATAGCCAACTTTTGAAGGATTGCAAGAAAGATTATTTACATTAATTTGTCAAAATCAAGTAGATAATGTGCAGTTGTTTTATCAAATTTTTGAAAACGCAAATAACCATTGAATGCCAGGAAGACACATAACAGAACATACCTTTGCCTCAAACTTAAAATCCAGAAGGATATTAGCCGCTTTGATATCACGATGGATGATCTTAGGATGACCTGGACGAACACAAAACCACAATAAACATTGAAGTTGACATAAATTAACAACAACTGAAGAAATCACAATCAAAGGTACAAAACATACAGTCTTCATGAAGATATGCCAGTCCCTTGGCAGATCCTAAAGCAATTCGTAGTCTTGTGGGCCAATCCATGGTAGGTCGCCCTTTTCCTGCAGTGCAAATAACATTAAGACTGCTTCTGCCAAAAGAATTATGCCACAATCCACAATAGTAACAGTTGGTGCCCACTTTCAGCAAAAAAGATGGGCCAACTAGATGGTGCAATTTGAAAAAGATTCTTTCAACAAAAAGCTAAAACAAGATGTACCATGCAAATGGAATTCCAATGTGTTGTTTGGAACAAATTCATAAACAAGCAGCCTCTGGGACCCAGTGATGCAGTATCCAACCAAAGAAACAAGATGTTTGTGATGAACACGACTAATAATCTCCACTTCAGCTTGAAATTCACGCTCCCCTTGCCCACTTCCTGCCTTCAGCTGCTTCACAGCCACCTCCTTACCATTAGGGAGAATCCCTCTGTGCACATATCCAAATCCACCTTGTCCAAGGAGGTTAGCATCAGAGAAACCATCGGTTGCACGCGCCAACTCCTCATATGTGAATGTGCTCTTCGAGAAGCCTAATGCAATGCCTGGAGATGGAGGTGGAAGTGGATTTTCACCACCTGAATAGTTTGATCCAGACCCACCACTGCTGCTCATGAAAGGAGGCGGCGGAGGAGGAGGTTGAGCAGCAAATGCCGACAATTGGGGCGGCCGCGACACAACCGGAGGTGGTGGAGGTGATGGCTTAGGAGGCATCATTGAGATTACATGATCTTGAGGAGGAGGAACATTATGTTGCCAGTGACGTGGTGGACCGCCATAAGCATCATCTAACAATTGTGAAGAAATCACCATGAAATGAACAATTATCATTAGACTCGAATACCTTTGAACAACATCACTGAAAAAACACCAAAATTAGAACAAAACTTAACAACCAAGAAAAAATAAACAAATTAGGTACAAGTGAAAACATATGCAGCTAACTTTATATAGTTAACAATCTGCATTATGAGTAAAAATTGAATCTTACAACTGTTCAAAAATGAATGTCTTGTAATCTGAATCAAGATCCAGAAAATCAGATAAAGCAGAAAAAAAGTTTATTTTCGAAATTAACATTGAAAACATGACGAAACTGAATGCAATTCACTCAAAACAAAAAAAAAAAAAAACATTTTTTTAAATAAGCAAAAATTAAAAAGAGGTTAAAATTAAAACCTTGAAGTAGCAAAAGCATGCAAGGCTTGACTATAATTAGATCAAAGGTGAAAAACTTAAAAACAAAAACCCTTCTAGTTAAAGTTCTCACCTTTGGGTCCTCGCAGCGGTTGCTGCGGCGGCGGTGGCGGGTAGTACTCCTGATCGCGTCTTCTCTTCTTCTTCCTACAGCATATGCACAGAATACTCAGCACCAGAAGAACCGCCACAGCCCCGACGGCGATTCCGACGACCACGCCGGTTGAAATACCCGACGAAGAAGAAGAAGACGCTGGCGGAGAAGATTTGGACGCCGGCGACGGTGGTGTTCGATCCGAGCCCGACGGAGGAGAGGGCGAGCTCCGAGACGGTGGAGACGGAGTAGTGCCGCCACCGGACGGGGACGGCGGCGAAGGCGGAGAGGTTGACGGTGTGGTGGGAGGCGGCGGAGAAGACGAGGGAGTCGCCGGCGCAGGCGCGGAGGGAGTCGCCGGAGGTGGAGAGGAAGGAGTTGCAGGGGGTGGAGAGGATGGAGTCGCCGGCGGAGGCGAGGATGGAGTGGCCGGCGGCGGCGAAGAGGGAGTGGCCGGCGGTGGGGAGGAAGGAGTAGCAGGAGGTGGCGCGGAAGGCGTGGCTGGGGTCGACGGCGGAGGAGCAGTGGCGTTGGTCGCCGGCGGCGAAGAAGGAGCCGGAGCAGATGACATTGCCAAACAACACTAAAAAAATTTAAAAATAAAAATCTGAGAGGAAAAAGGAATGAGAAGATTAAGGTTGAAGAAGAATAAGATGTATGCAATTATGTATTGTATTTATGTGTTTTTTGCTCTCTCTCTCTCTCTCTCTCTAAAGCTTCTGAGAGAAAGTGAAATTTGAAGAATGGTTTTGTTTCTGAGTCGAAGATGGAAAGCGTTTTATGTGAATCTGTGGAATCTCTTTCTTTCTTTCTCAATCCCACATAGCTGTTTCTGAGTAACCACACTGTGGTCACTGTATGTGTTTTCCTTCATTTTTTCAAAATACTTAAATATTATAATTGTTTTTAAATTATTTTCAATTAATACATAATGATGTTTAATAGAGACTTTTCACTTTCATACAATTATTAAAATAAAATTTTTAATTTTAATAAATAATATGCTGTAATTATTTTTTAAAAACTATTTGTTGAGCCAACCAGCGAGGACAAACGGGTAACGTGGGACCCACACGAATGTCCCACGGTCACCTTCTTCTTACAATTGAATAAATTAACAAATTAATTATTTCTCCTTTTGGATTATTCTCTTTCTTCATTTTTCTCACTTTTTAAATATTTTTTCTTCTCTTTCCGTTTGGTCATTGGTCCATTACGACGGTTGCTTTTTTTCTCTTTTACTTTTTTCTTTGGATATTAGTTTGATTATTTATTTCTATTTGTTTGCACTTATTTTTACCAAAATTGTGTAATATTTTAATTAAATTAAGTGATTTATTTTTGTACGCGTTAATTGAGGAGTGGAAATGGGTTCTTGACTTTGAGCTTTCATATGTTAATAAAGACAAATGGGTGTGCATATGACAATTGCAAATTCAAATACCATAAAACAAAAATCACTTTTAATTAATATTTATTTGAATCGGGTATTCAACCGTTAAGCACACACTTTGCTGCAAAAGCGAGTAAGTTATGAAAAGTAGTGATCCTCAGCATGTGCACTCTGAGTTTGGTTCACTTTCAAAATCCTTGTTCTTCCCTTAAACTCCTCTTTTCAGATTATTAAAACCCAACTAAAACATCTAATGGAATTATTTTTAAACAAAATATTAGTAGTAATTATGAGTCTTAAACCATGAAATTTAAGAAGATCAAGAAATATATTATTTAATAACTATACTTAATTAAATATTTAAAATTCTTTGTTATCAAGTATTTTATACAACTGGTTAAAATTTGAATTTAAAATTATATATTAACTTACAATAATCTCACATCAATTGATTTATTAGTTAAGTAATTGTTTATATTTATTTGAATAAATGTTTTTGTAATTACTACTTTCTAATGTGAATAAAGATGAAGAGCTTATATTTTCAAATCTAATTCAACCAACGAATGAGTTGATACTTAAATGCAATATTAAAGCATGAACGTGCCTTTTTTTTTCCCCATTTATTATAAGGCGATCTTCCCATGATTGGTTAAGTGTGAATGAGTCAAAGATTAGGTAACCCGTTTTATGTGCATATATGCAGAAAGACTAAGTTTTATTTTAATTAATATAGTAGCTGTTACTCTAAGTAAGAGTTAAAATACCAGCTGGATACCAATATCTAACCACGCAACAAGACATGGACATTCTTGCTCAAAATATACAAATTAAAGGACTTGTAAATTTTAAAATATCCATTTTTATCTTATTTAAAATGCAGTAAAAAAAAAGTTTCTATGGTTAAAATATTTTGGTGACTGCCATGCATTAATTTTCACTCCCTAAAATGATTGCATAAATAGCAAAGCATTTTCATTTTGGGCAATGATTATTGTAAAGTTTAACTAATCACGGTTTTGTAGCATACAATTATAATCAATTTTGCTTATTTGACTGTATAATAGTAGTGATGCTGCAGGCAATTATCAATTGGGACATATATAAATATATAAAATAATAATAATCAATTAATGGAGTGAATGATGGTTCAAAGGATACCCAGATGGATTGACATTTGGCAACGATTGCATAGAGGAAGCTCTGGCAAAAGTTCCCCAATAAAAAATATAGTTTTCTCAATAATCTTTAGAGTATTAATAAAAAAAACTTATGAAAATGATATTAGAAACTACACTAAATTTAATATTTACTGCTATTATATTCAATATACATCATCATACAGAGAGAATAAACAAAGTTTTAAAATACATTGAAAAATTATAAACATGAATACAATGCAAAAAGAATAAATAAAAACCTTCAAATAAATGTGATTTTATAAATATTTAATCGTGAATTTAAACATGAAGAAAAATATCTCTTTTGTTGGAAACATGAAAAAATGGATAATGAATGAAATAAAATTTGTTCGGCAGCTGCAGGCTTATAAGGAATAGTTTGACTTGGAAAATTCCTCTTTTGTTGTGCTTTTCTTCTCTCTCACACAGCAATGACACCTCACACATGCAACTAATTAATCCACTTTCTAGAAATTGACCCTTTATTAGTATTAGTATTAGTATTTGTATTTGTATTAGTAATAGTATTAGGGACAGGGAGGTTTCAACTTTCAACTTAGGGCGTGTGAGATAGGACACAAAAACAACACCACAAAGAATTTGGATGTTGTCTAGTTTGCTTCCACCAGATTAATCAAATGTTTATTTTTAATATAAAGTATACAACAAATGATTAAAAGCAAGAATTACTGTTTTGTTTTCTGATGTCAATTATTGAGACAGTAAAGTTCATCAAATTTCCCTTTTTTTCTAGGGATATAACCAAATTTTGTTGAACAAACTTGTTTTTCTGTCTGGGTGGTATACGATCTAATTTTTTTAATTATAATTTACTCTTGTTTTTCCTATTTATATATGACATGAAATTTTTTAACTAAATTTATTACATGATTTTTTTTTCATAAAATTCAATTCATTACATTTATTAACATATATATATTGTTAATGTGAACAGGTTAAAATAAGAATTTTAAAATTATGTAAAAGATTAAAAATAATAAGATTTATAAATAAGTGATAAATAATACTTACTTGATATTGTAAGAAATTTTTTTACTTTTCATTTTAATATCAATAAAAAATAATGTTATTAAAATTGATATATTTAAATTGTTATTTATTTAAATGTTTGGAAAAATAACTATAAAAATAAAATTTAAAAGGTTGAAAATATGTACAGTCAATAAATATGCACAAGGAATAAATTAAATGTTAACAAGAAAATAAATGAAGCATTAAATAAAAAAATAATAATTCCATGCAACAGTGTATTAAAATTCTTTCGATATAACAAATAAAAAATATTTAAAACCCCAAAAGTGAAGATATATTTGCTTAAAATAAATGTTGAATGGCTTAAAATAAAATGAAAATGTGTAATGTGATAGTTTGGTTGAAAAGCTTTAGTACTATATATATAAAACTTGTGTCACTAAACATCATTATAAAATTTTGTTGGCAGCACTAACATTCTGTATCTTTTTTTTGGCTTGGTTCAAGCACAATTTTTTTACTTTATTCCAGATTTTAAGGGAGCTTTCTGACCCAAAAAAAAGCATGAATTAAATCGAAAATTACTATAAAATAGTAAAGGAATAAAGTAATAATTTACACTAAAGTTTAATATCTGTTCACATATTTTTAAAATTTTTGATATATAATGTAATTGTTAAGTTTATTAAATGAAAATATAAATATAATTAAAATTGACTTGATACTTTTATGAACAGCCGAAATTTGAGGATAGAAATATTCTCAAAGAAATGACATTATGGTCTTTTATGTCTCACAGGTTGGAACACAGGTTGGAAACCCTCCTTTACCCAATCGTTGTTGCATTGATGTGTTGGGGAAAATAAGAATAGAAAAATGAGCAAACTACATAAGAACAGAAACAAATGTGTATTGTATTTTTCTATGTATCTTTGTGCTTTGTTGTATTAAACCGAACAACAATCTAAGGTGGGTATGAGAGTCAGATTCACATGCTATTATTTTCTCCTTTTTTGTCTGTGCTTAGCTAACATATTCACATCGCCACATGGGGCTATCAAATCGTCAATTATTATATTTAGTTTACAATCTCTCTCATAATTTGTGCCGTAACATTCGACTAATTTTGACCCACCCACCTTGTTTTCTTATGGTTTTGAGTTTAAATTTAAGGAAAAAGAAAAATTTTGTTGTTTATAATAATGATATTAAAGTTAAATAAGATTAATTTTAATAGAAAGAAAATACATGTAATTTAGAAGAAAAATATAGAATATTTTAGCTTTTTTTTTTGTTTTAATTGTTTATTAATATTGCTTATACAAAAAGAAAAAACTTTCACTTTATATTCATGGCTAAATTGTTGTTATTTCTTTTGTCGTAGCTATTCTAAAGTCTAAGGTACTTAGAATTTGAATTGCATGTGTACCATCATCTATATGCCTTAGCTTTGTGAAAAAATGGAGGCTAAAGTCGCGCAAAAAGAATAAGAGTAGACCTTAAGTAAATTCCTTGTTCAAAGGTAGAATAAATGTTTTTGTCATTATAATTAGTTTGCTTTTTGTGATATTCGTGATTAAATCACTGTGGCAAGAAGATCAATGAGATTCATTTTAGATTACTGTTATTTTTAATCATTTTGAAGTTTAGTTTTTTAAAAGCAAAACCTAAGTTATTCTTTGAAATTATGTAAATAATCATTTTATTATTTAGCCGTCAAATTAATCTTTGAAGTTAAAAAAATTATTATATCATTTTTTAATTTAATTACTGAATTAGTCTCTTAAATTTCATTTAAACAAGCTCAACATAATTGTTAAATAATTGTCAATTCTTAATTATTTACCTGAAAATATTTTGTTGAAAAAAATAACAAATTTTGCTAATCTTTATGTCTTAACTTAATGCAACAGAAAAACTAATTTATTATTAATGAATTTTTTTTATAACCACTTTAATCCTTCGTGAGAAAGAATATGTCAACATGTTAAATTTTAAGGAACTAAGTTAATGACAAAACTTTTGGAATATTAATATATTAAGTTTCACATTTTTAAGGACTACTTTGAAGATTAAAAGACTAATATAATTTTTTTTCTCAATTTTTGTATTATAAAAAATGTGTTTTAGTCCCTGAAAAATTAGTCAATTTTTAAGTTTGGTCCTATAAAAAATATTTTATTAAATTCTTAATTGGATGAAAACTCATGTTATGATATATGATGATATGCCAGGAGCAGACTAATTAAAGATCTATTTTCTAATTCACCACTTTCATTTACCTCTTAAGAAAAACAAAGTTCTCATATTAACACTTGCCATGCTCATACTAATCTAATTTAACTTCTTTCTTTCATTCTTTTTACTTTCACTTTCCCATAGCACGGTAATTGAGCATGGGGATATTACTAGTAAATAGTAATAGAATAAACTTTATACTAAGAAGTAAAAAAGCATGCATTTTCATAAAGTTAAAAACTAAAGTCAAAATTAACTACATTTTCGGAGGAAATAAAAAAACATAATTATGCCTCTTTTTTTTTGCATTTTCCCTTCATGTCCATTTCAATTTCCCTAACTTTATTTAGGCTTGATTTATTTTGCAAAGTACTTTAATATGTTTGGGGGTATTTGATGCTTTTATCTTTCTCTCTGTCTGTGGGGCTGTCATGAAAGCCTAGCCACATGCTGGGGAAGCCATAATAAGCCAAGTTCTTCACTTTTGAGTTCTTAATGGTGCTTGTAAATTGGAATCTCAATGACAATTGATATAGAATAGGGCACAAGCAGCTAGCCTATCCACCCCAAAAAAGGGAAGCACCACCTTTTCATCTTATCTAGGACCTAAATGTGTTTTCAACATAAAATCCACACTTTTTAGTTTTTACCCAAAAAAATAAACAAACTTACTATAAAAATATACCAATTTCCCAAAGATACCATAAGATAAAAATTAATAATAGAACATTGTTCCTTTTATTATCTCAATACGTTGAGATCTTCAACTAACCTTAATGATATATATATATATTTTTATGTAAACACACATTAAAATATTTATTGACATTAATCTATTGAAAGAAATAAATATAATGTAGGGTTAAGGAGTTTAAGCTGATAACAACTATAGTGTTCTTCAGAGAATGAAGCAACACAGAGGCCCACCATCTCAGTTCATTAATACATAGACGTTGTAACTAATTGACAGTGGCTATCTGAAGAATATGATGCAGAAAAGTACTTAAGAACCCCACTTTCCATGACTTCACGGTAACCATAACATTTTTATGTTCACATAAGCATGCATATGCATGCTTCACTGGGGCCAGTTTCAAAACCATGTTCTACGAACTGAGGAACAACGTAACATGTATTTATATACTCCAGACGAATGTCTGTCTTGTATATTAGATATGTTCTTCTATTTTTTATTAGATAAGGATTTGTTTGTTCTGCACTTGTCGGATGACCATGAAAAATGTTAATTTCAATATTTAAGATTGATTTTAAACTTTTAAAAATAGTAAGATTTTATTAAAAAGTAAATATTTACTATATAAAAAACATGCTCGTCCATGATAAAAATATCATTTTTATATTTTAAAAATAAATTTTACGGATTTATGTTAACAAAATTAATGAAAACATACATATTAAGATTTGGTTTTGGTTCTGGTTTTGATTTTGATTTTGATTCTGTCTTTTACGTAGCTAATAACTTGCATGCCATGTCACGCCAGCATGGGTGTGAGGTTGGCATCCCAAGCCATTGTCACTTCAGAAAGTGTGCCAGCCTCAGCCAGGGTATCGAATTTGTTGTTGTATGATGCTTCTAAGCTATGTATTCATTCTCAAGTCATAAACAGCTCAATGCATAGTTTAACAGGGTTTGAAATAAAGTGATTACTTGGATTTGAAAGTTCTATAGATGGGTATTATAAACATGCTTATTGGTCGAAAATTAAGTAAATTGTTTCATAAGTATTTATATGTTACGAAAATTGATTGAAATAATGTGTTTAAATCGTTACCAAACTTGTTCTCAGGAAACTATTACCCATTATTAATAGTTATTAATTATTATTTTGACATTCTTACTTAAAGTTCACCTTATTCTATAATTCAAATGCAAACGCTAAAAGGATGAGCTTTCTCATAATTTAAAATTTAATTTAATTAAAGTATTTTGGTTTCTTTAAAAGTTCATAATTTTTTACTTATTAACTATTGTTTAAAAAGAACTCACACTTGAGAATATTTTAATAAAACACTTAAATTGAAGGATTAAAATAATATTTTGTGAAAAAATATAAACCATATCTTGATAAAATATTTTATAAAAAATAAGTCTAAATTTTACAATTTTTGGAAGGAGTAAACACTTGATTAATCTTTTAAATTTTTGCTTGAAAATTAAAAAAATGCCAAAACTATTATTACTTTACTTATTAAAATATATTGATATAAATTGGGACCAGCTAAAAATATCTGAAAGAATGATTTGAAAGCTCAGAAGAAGAAGAAGACCAACATGGTGGAGGGTCCAACCAATAGTTTTATCTTTTTGGCACATCCAATCAACTCTTTGATAAACCCTGCATTCCCAGACGACATAGACGAATGAAAACAACGTAGCACAGTGATTAGCTTAAAAAATCAGAATCAGAAAACCTTTCTTCAGTCATTCAATGTGGCGTTCACATGACTTTAACAAAGTACCCTCAGTTATGTTATGTCCATTCTATTAGCCCCACTAGATAAGCCAAATGCCTTAGGGTAAGTTTGGTTCCAACCCTAAATTTACGTAATTTTCAATGTTACAGAGAGTAACTTATACGTTTAGAATGTGCGTCTACTTTGGTTTAAGGCAGAACCAAACACAGCATTAGGGCAGCAGAATTTTTCTTACTACTGTTTATGCTATTTCGAGTGTAAAATTACTTTTAAGAAGCATAAAGTTGTGCATAATTTGTAAAATTACTTTATCCTAACTCACATATTTAGGATTATAACAAAAATAAATAAATTATTGAAACTTTAGGTAATAAATAGTTAAAAATTATTCTCTGCTATGATTTAATCCAACTTGATTTACAAAAAGAATTATTTTTGAAAAAAAATTAAAAATTAAAGATCAATCGGAACAAAATTCAATTTTAAGACATCTAGTAGAAAATCAGTAAAATTTAAGAACTTTTTTGAATAAAATTTAGCTTCATACTGTCTAAAAGAAAAAATAAAGATAAAAATAAATAAATTTAAGAATCAATTAAAATGAAACTAAAACTTAAAATGTTTATTTACGAAGACGGTGGATTTTTTTGGACGGAGAAGAAGGTAAAATTAACTTGCACTTTAATTTTCTAAAAGCTTTCTCAATTAATTTCTGCATAAATTAATTTTAATCTATAAAATATATTTATTTGTTTTATCTTTTTATTAATATTTTTACAAGTAATTCTGTAAAAGATTGTTCAAACTAGACTTTTTCCAAATAATTTTAACAGTTAAACCAAATGGACCCATAAACCGAAATTTTACTACACTATCTTAATGCAAAAGTCTTTATTATAAAACTTGACTTTCAAGGCCCGCCTTGGCTCCCATTAGTGAGAGAGAGGTGCACCCATAAATCAAAATTTCACAAAAATATCATTGTTTTGGGCCCTTCCTCTAACCCAATAAGCTTCATTGGTTACAAATAATCTTATAAAGTATCGCTAGATAAGAACAACGTGCTTCAAATTATTCGATCAATGAAACAATCATGCAATAAATATATCCTTGTCAGAGAACATGTGCTACCTGATTAATAGTACAAAAGGCAATCTTAAAAGCATGGTGTGATTTTACCCACGACACAAATTGATGAAGCTGTTGGATAGTGTTGTACCTTGGTATGCACAACACACAGAAAACTTTCTTGAAATCAAATATGATTAAAGAAATTTCACACTGAATGAAAAAAATAAACTAGCAACATATTACCTGTGACACATTAAAATTTTACATGTTTTTAAACCCCCCATATGTCCCAGACAAAACTCACTCAAAAGTGCAGAATTATAAATTTGTTTGTATATTTGTGCCATGCAGAATTTCACGTGCAGTTCAAAAGTTCATAGGTATATAGAATTATCCAAAAGTGCTGTCCAATGTACAACCAAAATAAATTTAAGATTTAAGCTCCCGGATAAGGATACATTCAAATAAATACAAATTCAACTAGTCTACAATTCAATGAAGACTATATATACACAGTAACATACTATGAGACTATAAGCATCTCAATTAACAATGCTAGCTAGCATGGCAACCTATACAAAGAACTGAGAGAAGACGAGGTCACAGACAACTAAGAGTGTTAAAAGATAATTGTTTAGGTGGACATGGTGGAAAAAAACAGATCCACCTTGTTTATGATTTTGACTTAGATTCATTATGTTGTTTTTTTTATGATTTTAGGCACCAATTGCCTTTGCACAAAAAGCAAACATATTTTCAAGTTGACACCAAGACATCATGTTCCTGGCATATTGCTCCCTGTGCTGGAAAGAATTATGAAGGCACAAACAACTGAAAGTGAGAAAACTGATAACCAGGTGTTCTCTGTGTACATTTCCATTGCGTCGGTGAAGGAAAGCCGGGCACGATTTTCGGCCCAGTTACGAAGTCGGTCTGCTTCAGCTGCATACAGTGCTCTTCCCTGAAACATAAACATGGCCGTAAGGTCTTGCTCAATTATATTTAACATTCAACCGTAGCTATGTAACATTGGATAATATGTAACATGTAGTTAATAATAAAAATTAGGACACAGCCACAACTTGGTTCACTAAGCAAATATTAAATCGACTCTAAATTAATAGTTCTAGTGAAACATAAGATAAATAAATACTGTTCAAGGATAAACATTTACACGCATGTGGATGCCAACTCCTTCTGATCCACCCTGTTTGTTGAGACAATCTACAAAAGTTTCTTTCTTTTAGCCACTCATTTTCTTTTTTCTTTTTTTATAAATTATCTTCTCCTTCCATGCATTAAAAGATAAACTCAATAACAATTTTTTGGAACCAAGTATATTTGAAGTTATTGAGGCTTTTTCTTTTATGAAGTATTTAAAGTATGCCATGGAATGAATGTTTATATCAACATAACATAATACATTTTGATTTCATCCTCAAAATAATCATCACCTGATCATCAAACCAGCGACCTCGACGTAACCATGCAGTGACCAAAGCTAGTAAGATTCTGGGAGGGGTCAAGTAATTGATGGCTTTGCCTGTCCCCTTAACAACCCTCATACGTGGAACTAATGTTCTAGCAACAGTTTCAGGAAGCTCACAGATGATGTTAAACATTTTCCTGTTTTGGACAGTTGAACCACTGGAAAAAAAACATAGTTAGCACAATTTTGAAGCAATACTTATTTGTATCAAGAAAGTTATGTGAAGCAAACATAAGGAAGTTCTTAATTGTTCAGAAAGGAAAGAAAAGCTGTCATGTTCTAATAAATAACTAGGTTGTTATAAGAACAATGACCGGCATAAAATATTGTCAAAAATGGAAAAAGATGTTGGAGCCTTCAAATCTGCAACTTAGGAAAGTGACTCACACAAAATTACAATATCACTTCAGACAACCAAGGAACAACAGGTTTGCAACAGAGATATACCTTAAGAGAAGATCTGTAAGCACCATTCCTGGAGATGCAGTATGGATGCCTACTTTGGATCGCTTGCACTCCTTTAATAATGATCCTTGAAGTTGCCTAAGGCCACACTTTGTAGAGCCATATCTACATGTTAAATGAAAAAGTAAGAATGGTAAGCATCAATAGCAACCCCCATTCACCATGACTTTTGAAGAACATATATTTTTGTGACTTTAGCAAAAGCTTAGAGGGATAATCAGCATCCTCCCATAGGATAAGAAACCACATTCTACTCACACAGCTGTCAGAGGTGTGCTTGAGCCTCCAGAACCTGCACCATCCATATTAAATATGTGACCTGCGTTGGCTTGGTTTCTCATAACACGCATGGCTTCCCGAGTGCAAAGAATAGATCCAACCAAATTTGTTGAGACAATCTACAACAATTATAAACAAATAACTTTTCAAGTTAAGGTTAAAGACTAAATTGATAATGTTAATTCAGGTTAAAGACTTATATATCTCTGTCTCAAGAGTCAAGACAGATTAAATGACTACTAAACTTAACAACATTTCATCTTAACAAAATAGATAAGAAACAATTCATAACATATACCTGTTTAATATCTTCATCACTAAATTGAAGCAATGGTCTAAAACCTTTATTTGCTCCGGCATTATTTATCTGTTGAATGGTTTTAACAAAAAAAGGCAAAAGATTAGAACCAGAAATATAAAAACTGCATTCTACAAGATATAAGGAATCCAATGGAAAACTTAAATTTCACAGAATGAATAAGAAACGCATTAGTAGAATCAATTAGCAGAAAAGTTCACTTTCTTCAAGGTTATTTTCATCATGTTATTGGATCTAGACATCCAATGAATTAGTTTTCAATTACTGATACTAAAATTTAAACCCTATACAAGATGATAAGAGAAATTTTTTTTTATAGAGACTGAATATATTTCAATTTCTGCACAATATTAGAAAGTATCAAGATGAACATAAATCCATGAGATTATGACTGATAGTCAAGTTTTGCAGATGCCAAAACTTTTAGTCTTCAGCTATTAGCTTTAACCAACATTTAATCTTAATATACGGGTTTTATTATTATGTGTAATCTTTGTTAAGATAGGAGCATGCACTTGTCTGGTTTTCCACGTGCTCAACAACAACGCCACAACACTTACCCAAATGTCGATATCACCAAGTTCTTTGACAGCAAAGTTAGCCAACCTCAGCACATCATGAGGCTCACAAACATCACAAGCAATGCCAACCACTTTTGCCTGAGAAAGCTTTGTCAAAGATGAGCCAACTGAATTGGCAATGCCTTCCTTTAGATTTTCCTCAAGCTCTTTGATAGTTGCTTGCACAGACTCAGGGCTGCCTTCACAAAATGCAACAGTGGGAGCAATGACATGTTGTGAGTAACATTTAGATAAAAGCCATAAAATATATTATTTTGATCTCTATAAAATTCTCTCATAGTTCATAATACCACCTGCGGGAGGTAACAACTACACGATCTCCAGAAAGAAGAAATTCTCGAGCTAAGGCTTTACCCAGTCCCCTTGTACTGCACAACACATATGCAAGATTTAACAATGTCATGAAAACATTAGTACATATGGTCATGCAATGACAATATTTTCCACATCAAGCAAGATGTACATATGATATCACTGGTTCATTAAATAGCAACAAAATGATGGGAACACTTATAGAAGAGAATTAAGTTAATGTACCTCCCTGTTATGACAACATTACGCGGACCAGCACGACAATGTTCCTCCAACACCATATTAGCACCTATCATTGTCCCAATGATTATTCCTCCTAGCCAGCTATACCATATCAATGCATCCATTTGACTATCTCCACCTTCACAAAATTTCAGAAAATTCAACATCCCATAAGGGGAACCAATGCATATAATAAACCAACTAGATTTCCATACACAATTTTAGTTAGGAAAGTTGCATATGGGCCAACCTGACATCTGAAATCCAATTGCAAGAATGACACCAGTGCTCATCATAGTCACAATATACCTTCCAATTTGAATGGCAATCTTGTTTTCGCCAATAGACAAACACAGTTATATTCAACATTCAATACAATACAACACAGTATTTAAAAACAAACAAAATTAAAGCAAAGGCAATAACACCAGAAAAACTAACCGAAGATAGTATCACTTCCACCTTCACCACAGCTTGGCGATACTCATCATCCGATTTTGAACCCACCATGAAATTCCTCCACAAGATAGACCTAAGAGAAGTCCAAAACCCACTTTCCCTTTTGAATTTCACTTCATTTTTCTTCAAATTTCGAAACTTTTTCTCCTTAAGATCCCCACCATCCTCACTCCTAAAAGCCCTGCACCCTTTCACATAGAGCCCATCACAATTATGGCCAAAACCAAGTACCCCAGGTGAAGTGCATGAGCCAAAGCCCTTCCTCGACAACCTCGTCCTATGTTGATTCAAAATTTCTGGGTAAACGTGAAGCTTCACAACTGTGGTCATTGCTGTGATGATGCAAAGATCATGGAAATGTTTTAGCTGAAAAAGCTGTGGAATTTGAGTGGCTTGTTCCTTTATTTATTGTTATCCTTTTGGTGAAAACTGAAAATTAAGTTTTTGTAATTTTCTGGTTGAAAAAAATATCAAAAGATGAAGCATGGATCGAAGGGACATGTAAGTAGAAACGTGAGAAGGAACATAGGAGAGTGTGATGACCACACGTTGAAGCAACCTAATCTTCATTGTTTAAGGACACGTGGCATTGTGGGTCTGTGCCCACTTCGCTTTTTCTTTTGCTTGAGAACTTAGATAATACCTTCTTCGAATTTATCTTAGATACAGATATGAATAATTTTATTTCTTAGGACCCAAATATAATCTTGTTTGGATAAATTTATTTTGTTAAAATATAATATACAGTTAGAATATTACATTTTCAAATTGTAGTATCACTACTTTTATATTTTAAGTTAAAGATATTATTTTATTTTCTTAAACGACATAATTTCCAGTTATAGTAAATTTGATGAAATAAAGTAATTATTTCTTTGAGGCATTTGCCCAACTGGAAATGTGTAAGAATATAATATTACTATAATATTTTAAAAAATAGTTTAAATATCTAATTATTTAGATTTAAAATTATTCTCTGTAACTTGGAAATAATTGAAAAATAACAGCATATGAAGTTTGGTAATAATTTTTTTATACATAAATTATATTTGAAAATTATTTGAGAATTAAGTGAGTGAATTGTTCAATAAACTAATCAATTTGCTTACTTTTTGTTATATCGTGTATTTTATATTATTTTGATATACATATATTGTTTTTGTCTCAAACATATCAAATAAAATACGTTTAAGGAAAAGTATATCTTCCAATTAATCAAGATTTTGGTTTATACAGTTACACAATAAACAAGACAGAGAGAGATTATTACGTTTTTTTGTTTCATCAAATAAAAAGAGGTCCTCTTATTGCCATTTTTTCTTCTTCTCAATAATACTACATATAACACTTTTATCCACTCAAAACAATTCAAGAAAACACTAGAGAAAGTGTAGATATTCAATTTGTTATGTTCTAGCCGATTTGCCCTGTTAGCACTCTCTCTCTCTTCTTACATCATCCTTTGGGATCTTATGTGAGTATCTTTAGGTCCCACCCCAAAAACAAATTAACTATTTCACAATGAAATCTAAAAATAATCATAATGAATAAAAAGCTCAAATTAACAAAATAATAAAAGAAAAAAAAAATAAAACAACTCATGCTCTGCTGGTTCCTTACAACTCACAGGCATCTTTCGTTTTTCATCAATTATTGATAACAATGCAATCCCAATTCTTGAAGTTAGTTCAAGCCACTGAACATTGATTATTTAAATAATATAATCATTTATTACATACACACATGTTTGGACGTGACTTTTTGTTTCAAAATTTTCCCCTGAAACCTTTTATTAAAAGTGAACTATTTTAAACTACAATAAATTTTTATTAGCAAAGAAATTAATAAGAAAAGGAGAAATGTGAGAAGGAAGGTTGGTAAGGTATACAGGGGGCGCAAGAGTAGGAAGCGGGTAATGCTGAACGCCGTAGACTCAAAAGGCGAATATTTAGGTGAAAAAATATAGCTATACACAACAAAACAACACACTCTCTTTCTCTCTCTCTATTTTTTCTCTTAATCTTGAAACCATTCATATTCTTCTCTTCCTTGGAATTCACATTCAGCATGAACAAGTCTCAGGATCAACGGTCAAGGCCTGCAAAACCAGCCACCATCCATGCATATGCCCTCTCCGGTGACCTTGTTGGACTTCAGAGGCTACTTAGAGATAACCCTTCTCTTCTCAATGAGAGAAACCCTGTTGTAAGATCCCTTTTTTTACCAACTGGGTATCTCCAAAAAATTATTTTTTTAGGTTCTGTTGTTAGTGGTGTTTGATCTTCAGTTACTTCGAAAATTAGATCTTTGTGGTGTTCTGTGTGAAAAAGTTGTTGTTGATGGTTTAAAGCCATTTTCAATTCACAATTATTTATTTATTTATTTTTATTTTATTTTATTTTTAGTGAATTGAGGATTTGGAATGATGTGCATGACATTGATAGATCTACTTTGTCATGACTCGTTATGACTTTAGCTAGCCGGTGTAATTTTATTCCTTGTTGAATTTCATGGTAGGTTTGTGATTTGTTGGTGTAAATGATACTTGATTATCTTATTGAAGAGTATACTTAGTGGGATGGTAGGAAAAGATAATAACATTAGGTTGCCTTTATTGTGTTGGTCTTGTTAAATCCTCATTTTTTGCTTTACTAGTAATTTTATGTTAAATATGTCAGCTAGATTAAGAATCGAAAGACAAATGTAAGACAAGCATGATGCCTCGGGTTTCATATATGCTACGTACAATGAAGATTGCTCAGGAGGGTACAACTTATTGGCAATTGCTTTGGTGTATTTTTGGTTGAAGAGGAATTGGGTTGGTTTTCATGGGGAAGACTACATTGGTTGACTAGTTGAGGAAAGGACTATTTTATGGCTTCTATTTCCTGATCATTTGTTGGGTTTTCTTCCTGGGGTTTATGAGACAAATATGTAATATGTAAAAGGGATAGGGTAGGAGGGCATGATCATATTGACAATCTATTTCTCCAATCGCTTTCTTTTGGGATTTTAGTATTAAGGTTTTGATAAGGTGGGATGTACATGTACTTCAATAGTAAGTTTGTTCCGTATGATCCTATTGAATTCAATGCCTGAGGATCTCACCTGTTTTAAATGCAGATGGCACAGACACCACTTCATGTTTCTGCTGGTCACAATAGGACTGAGATAGTTAAATTTCTTCTTGATTGGCAAGGTCCAGATAAGGTTGAGATGGAGGCCAAGAATATGGTAAGTACTTGCCAATTTTTTTGCTGATGTTATTGTTATTATAAATTTGTATTATCTAAGTAATTGTCTCATAATTCTGAAGAGGTTTATTGATTCTTCTGTTTCAGTATGGAGAAACACCATTACACATGGCAGCAAAGAATGGGTGCAGTGAAGCTGCTCGGTTACTTCTTGCTCGTGGTGCTTCCGTTGAAGCTAGAGCAAATGTAATTTTTTTGGTTGCAGCATCTGTCATTTAGTCTAGTTTAAGCCAAGCAAGAATTATTTTTGTGCTTCATTATTTATATGAGAGTTCATTCCCAACCTTTTTCTTGCAGAATGGTATGACACCCTTACATCTTGCTGTTTGGTACTCACTACGAGCTGAAGAATTCTTAACTGTGAAAACGTTGCTTGAGTACGATGCTGATTGCAGTGCCAAGGACAATGTACTGAATTTAATTTCCTGTTTTTCTGTTATTTTAACATTTTTGGTGAAATCATAATATATGCCCAAACCTATGAATTGCAGGAGGGAATGACTCCCTTAAATCATCTAACCCACGGCCCCGGCACTGAGAAACTTAGGCAACTGTTACACTGGCATCTTGAAGAGCAGAGGAAGAGACGAGCCATTGAAGCATGCAGTGAAACCAAAGCTAAAATGAATGAGCTCGAGAAGGAACTGTCAAATATTGTGGGTCTTAATGATCTAAAAGTACAACTACGCAAGTGGGCAAAGGGCATGCTTTTGGATGAGAGACGTAGAGCTCTTGGTCTGCATGTTGGCACAAGAAGACCACCTCATATGGCCTTTCTTGGCAATCCTGGAACAGGTTATTGCTGACTGATTGTTTCTAGAATATCATGCTCATATTATCTGCAATCAATACTGAAAGATGTCTTATTGTGCACTTAATTTCGTTGTTTCCATCTACCATTTCCTGCAATATGATATACTACTGTCTGTGCTTTTATTGATTTCTCATGTTTCGATTTGAGCACAACTTGGGTCGATTTTCCCTTTGTATATAAACATTTGCATGAGCACTCAATATTTGTTATAGGGGAGTGGTGTTTAGTTCTGAAATTAATTTATATATTTACTTACCTATTTAATAGGTAAAACTATGGTAGCACGGATTCTTGGAAAATTACTCCATATGGTGGGAATTCTGCCAACTGATAAAGTGACAGAAGTACAACGGACCGATTTAGTTGGTGAATTTGTTGGTCATACTGGTCCAAAAACCAGGAGGAAGGTACATTGTTGTCTTTGAAATCCTTCTTCTCTTACATGTGCTTTAACTTTTCAAAACCAAACTTGACAATGTTGCTTAATAAGTGAGTTCAAACTTCAAACATTGCATACAGATCAAGGACGCAGAGGGGGGGATTCTTTTTGTTGATGAAGCTTATAGATTGATACCAATGCAAAAGTCTGATGATAAAGATTATGGGTTGGAAGCCTTAGAGGAGATTATGTCTGTCATGGACAGTGGAAAAATTGTAGTAATATTTGCTGGTTACAGTGAGCCGATGAAACGAGTAATTGGTTCCAATGAAGGTTTCTGTAGACGAGTGACCAAGTTCTTTCATTTTAATGACTTCAATTCAAAAGAACTAGCACAAATCCTTCACATCAAGATGAATAACTTATCAGAAGATAGCTTGCTATATGGATTTAAGTTGCATTCCCATTGCACTACAGAAGCTTTAGGGGCATTGATAGAGAGGGAAACAACCGAAAAGCAGCGTAAGGAGATGAATGGCGGTTTGGTAGATACCATGTTAGTTAGTGCTAGAGAAAATTTGGACCTAAGGCTTAGTTTTGACTGTATAGATACTGAAGAACTTCTTACAATCACAATGGTAGATTTAGAAGCAGGACTTCAGCTATTAACACAGTAATCATTCTTGGCAACGTGATAGATATTTTGAAGAGGTTCATTCAGCTTACCTCAAATTTCACCATTGGATACACAAGTTTACAACTGCACAATGAGGAGCCTCTCATGAATAAGTTTGATACAACAGGTGGATCCTATTTTGAGAAAAAAATTTCCCTGTATTTTTGTAATTGATAATGTTATGAAGGTTCCATTGATGATGATGCACTTTGCTCTATTTTTTATGTGCCTTTAATTGTATTCTTTGTATGCTATTATTATTCATTATTGTAGAGCATTAAGAAATCTCCTTTTCGCTTTTGTGATATTTCCATTAACCAATCATCATAGGTTTTAAAATTATTTTAAATAAATTTTAATGCAATTTTTGTGTAATTAAATTGATTAATTTAGATGCAGTGTTTGTTAATTTAATAATTTAGGACAAATGAATTGTGACAATTTAAATTTACACATCAAGCACGGTAAAAGTTGATTAAACTGTTGAATTGGATGAAACCCATATTTGTACCAATCAAAATTTATGAAATCATTGTATCAATTTATTTTCTTCGTCATTTTATTATCACAATTACATTTTATTAGAATACGAATAAATTTATTATAGTTTTTTTATTTATAAAATTATTATACTATTCATATTTGTGTAAGTAAAAATTGTAATGATGAAATCGAAAGTTTTTTATGAGTGGCTCACAAGATTTTATTTTTTTTTAATTATGAAAAAAATACATTTTGAGTGACTCTTTAATATCTTAAACTTTTATAATTTTTTAAGTTACTATTTAATAAAAAATTGTATAATTAATATAAATCTATTTAAATATATCTTTTAGTTAAAAGTATAATCCTTTAAAATATCACAAAAGACGTGCCTGAGAACCTCTGAAGACTTGAACTACTTTGTTTTGGATTATGTGATGATTCAATGTCTCATGGCAGAAATTATGGAATTCATGCAAGAAGACAAGATATTATGCAACTAATTATTCCCAAACACTTGTGTCTTCAAAAGTAAGCACACAATTGAAACAAGCAAAATCAACGCCTTGTCCCAATTATCAAAATTGAAATAAAAATTGTAAAGCAGGAACATTACGTGCAAGCTACTAATTATGAACCCTTGCAAGAAAAACTAGCTACAATTAGAAAGGACTCTTTCCCCCAAAGAAAACCCAACTATAGAAAACATTAACAAAAATAGCAAGACAAAGGGATACTAAAACAAAAATAGCAATATCACTCAGTCAAAGAATAAAATCATTTTTTGACTGAACATAAATGTCAAAAGAATTAGCAAACACGGATCCTTTTAGTATTTTACTAACACAATGTAAAAGAGAATTAGCAATTGTTAAAAAGGAATGAATCAAGGAGGAAAACATGGCAGATAATATTTTGCTTTTCCATTGACATCGATGATTAAACTAACCTATCCACTTGGTCTGAATTTGTTGTCAATTATATCTAGTAATACTTAAAATTTTCTACAAAATGATACATTGTTAAACATTTGATGATTCGAATTATTGTTTGTACCTGGATTTTAAAAAAAAAACAGAGATGGTGATTCGACTTAAACTTATTTAATACTTTAAAAAATGAATCGTGATATGTATCTTTTTATTCAGTAAATAAGCTTAGTCCAAGTATTTACTTTCTAAATATTTGCACACACAACAAAAAAAATCCTTAGAAATATATATTTTTTAACTATCATATTAATAATTTCTTCTAAAATAAAGAAGTCCAATTTCTTACCATAACATTTTTTTGATACTTGACTTTTATTATTCTAATAATCCTAACAAAATTACATACTTTTTCTTATTTAATATTGAAATAGATCAAAATCACCAAATGCTGTTTACATTAGGGTTAATTACTTGTTATGCATATATTGCTTATAGAGCATTATCAACCATTCATGTTATTCAGCAAGAATAATTTTTTTAAAATTAAAATCAATAAAACATTAATTAAGTTTAATAATACCTTAATAAGTATTAAATAGATTAATTTTATCATCAATTAAGAAGTTACTAATTTTATTTCTGAGAAGAGTAACAATGTCAGCAGTGAGTGTTAGTATTAACTGCAATAACCGAAAGTAGGAGAATCCGTTATCGGTGACTGAAAAACAAAATCCGATTTTTTCTGGTTATCCAAACAAACACACTCTCTCTTTTCTCTCTGTGTTGTCCTGTGTAGAACGTAGAAGAAGAAGAAGAAGAATGTTAAGTTGTTCAATTTCAGCGGTGTCTTCTTCATCTTCATTTCTCTCTGATTCTCCCTCTACTTCCTCTCACATTCGAATCAAACCCTTCTTCTCTCCTTCAAACAGAACCTCTCTTTGTGGGTTCCCAAGAGCACTCCTTTCCAATGCTGTTCTCGGAGCCCAACAAGAAAATGGGTCGCCGCAGAAGTTTCAGCAGAACAATTCCATCGCTGATTTCATGAGATTTAAACGTGGGGTTGATGATGGGGGAAGTGGGGAGTTGCAGACAGCACTTGTTAGCTATAGGAAGAAGTTCCCTTGGTCCCTTTTGCGCCCTTTCCTTCAGGTCACTCTAAAGTTTGTTTCCTTCTTGTATTTTCTCAACTGTTTTTTTTTCTCTTATCTATCTTCTGTGATTTAGTTTAGTATAATTATTGATGTTGTGTTGTTTCTGATGATTTTGTAGGTTGACTTGGTTTCAACAATTCACATCGCTGATGAAGAGTATGTGTTGCCTTTTCCCCTTATAGTGTTTTTAATTTGGCAGTTTTCTAGGCGAGTTGATTATACTGGCGGTGTTAGTTGTTAGGGGGTGAAGAAAATAAGGAAGTGAGAAAATTCATGAGGTTCTGCTGGTGATGAAAAATCAGTTGAAATCTATTATGGGAAAAGGTGGACTGAAGTTGTGAAATGAAGCAGCAAAATTAATACTTTGAATTAGTCCGTGAAATATAGCATTAGTCAATTTAGTGCTTAATATTATAATAATATCATTTTAGTTCCTAAAATTAATCACCAAAAAATGGTCATTTTTGTCTCTTATATTGCTAAAGATGGTTCTTCTCGTCTTTTAAATTACAACTAAAGGACTGGTGTTTTAGATATATGTATGCAGGTCTAACAAACCGCTTGCTTGCAACCCTTGTGGTTTTCAATGACATTATGTGTTAATGATTAAACTCACATTTTTGGTTTGAACTCACAATGTGAACTGCTATTGATATTATTGATGTTCATGGGAGGGATATATGTAAATGGTTTGTTTAATGATGTTGCTGGATTTAGTATTTTTGTTTTTCTCCCCTCAAAATATATTAGTTCATGATAACATAGATGAACAAGATTATCATCACATCCAATTGCAACCACACCCCCGGGGGGGGGGGGGTGATAGGGGATATAGCTGTACCTTTGGTGCATGTTGCTAAACTGTATCCCAAACTAATTACAATGCCCTAGCTTTTGTGGTACTGCAAACTTCCTAGCTTTTGTGCAATTATTAATAAAATCAATTTTCACGTTTTGAACACTATTTAAGATTTTCTTTTGATTAGTGCTAGTGTTTTTTGTTGCACTGATTTAATTTTTTATTTATTTGTTTTTCATTTTATTTCCAATCACTATTAACTACTGAGTGGAATGATCCTAATTTATGTAAGCAGGTATTTTCTGGCCCTCCAGAAGGAACTTGAATCCTATGATTGTGTCCTTTATGAAATGGTGGCTAGCAGGGAAAGTTTAGAGAATAGAAGAAATCCTACTGTTACAAAAAGGTTAAAAGGTTCACGCACCAAGGGTTTTAACATTTTGGGATGCATCCAAAGACAGATAGCTCGAATTCTTATGCTTGATTTCCAATTAGATTGTCTGAATTACCACTTTACAAATTGGTACCATGCAGATCTTGACTACGAGACCTTCAAATTACTTCAGGTTTTAAGCTGTTAATGTTTCTTGCTTAATTCAACATGGTGCACATCCGCAGTAGCACAGCATGGAAAATTCTCTAGTTTCATATGGAATTCAACATGGTGCACAGTTTATAAAGGCTATTCTGTATAAAACAATTGGGGTGTTACTGTTCTTTCAAGGCCATGTATCAGTGTCACTTGGCTGTCTCATATGTAGCTACTGACCATCATCTGAAAAGCATTAAATGATTTGAATGACTTCCACTGAAATTTGAGCACTTGTACTTTATTTATTTTCGTTTTTCAGGTCTCATTTCTCTCTTTTATTTCAGCTTGAAAAAGGTGAAAGCTTTTTTTCGTTTGCAAAGGATATGACTCTTAGGTCTACGAAAGCAGTATTGCAGCCAGCTTCAATTCCGGAAGATCTTGACCCATGGAGATCCAAGCTTTTATGGGCTTCACGTGTACTTCCTATGCCACTTGTTGGCCTTCTTATCATTGAAAGTGTTTGTGCAGATGTGGGTGGTCAAGCATCAGAATATCCTGAAATAGAGGCATTGTCAAGGCTTGATTTTGGTGCTGCCATGAAGGTCTTCCTTGCAAAGAGGCTAACATCTGAGTAAGTTCCTGTCATTTATCTCTTTTAATCCATCTCACTTTCTTTTTCATTTTGAACCACCAGACATTTATACAAACTCTTGTTTCTATAGGTTTTGAGTCATGAGAATATCATCTAGACATTTTGAATCACTAGGCATTTATGCTCTACATTTTCATTTGGAAGTATAGTCCAAGACATGAGGCTTTGTTGATTATTCCTTATTTCAAACTTGTAGAGACTGCATAAACATTATCATATTAATTTTCTTTTATTGCGTCACTATTAACAACTTTCGTATTGATGATGAAATGTTGTTGTAAAGATTGACACAGGTGACAGCAGATGTAGAAGAGAAATCAGTTATAATTGGTGAGAGAAATAGAGTTGCAATAGAGACCCTTAGAACAGCAATGGACAAGGGACACAATAGGATTGCCATACTTTATGGGGGTGGCCACATGCCAGATCTTGGGAGAAGATTGAGGGAAGAGTTTGATTTAATCCCATCTAGTGTGCAGTGGATAACAGCTTGGTCCATAAGGAAAAGGGACCTAAATACTAATTCACTTCCATTTCTGAAGACAATTGCTAAGGCCTCTGGCTGGCCATTGAACCGCTATCAAACATTGGCATTGCTCATCTTTTCATCAGTCTTGGCATTGGATCTTTGGTTCTGGGAGCTCTTCTTTGGCACTGCAGTTAATTGGGTCTCTGAACTTGGCTCAGAACTTCTTTGCTATGTCGATAACTCACAGATTATATGATTATTATTGGACTCAGAAAATTCTTACTAATTAATAAACAGGATGAAGAAATCTTGTATGTGTCAGTGTAAATATGAAAAGCTTTATTAACAAAATTGAAATTCCAAATGTTACCATTTCTCTAAGTGTTTAAGGATGCAATTGTTTTCATTCAATGAATTTTGGCTGGTTAACATATGCTCTAAGCTATAATATTTGCATGTTTATACTTAAGAAATAGCATATTATGCAGCATAATCAAATCATGCAATGAAATATACTGAATGAGCATGACCACTGAACCATAGGCCAAGCTAGGCCAGAAGAACATTTGACATACGTTACAACCAAGCCTTTGATCATGGACACAAATATTAGTAACTTAGTACATTGTCATTCATACATAACCTTATTCATGATAACCAGAAACACCTACAGTTCAACAAGCTGTAGGATATAATAGCATTACTACTAATATTTTTATATTTAATTTTGATCAAGTTTTATCAGCTTTAGTTTTTAAAATTGTTTTAAAGCATTACTACTAATATTTTTTAGTCAATATTTATTATTTTAAGTATATAATATAATAAATAAGTAAAATATTAGTAATTTTTAGGTTTGAACATAATTACATGTCTAAATTATATTTTAAATCACTAAAAAAATAACGTGAAATGCCAACAAAGAATAAAAAGAAGTTGATTTATTTTAATAAAAGATTCGAATTTTAGTCAATATTATAACAAATAAATAAAATTCACTTATTTGTGTTTTTAAATTGGCTTAATTACAATTTTATCTTTATACTAAAGTATTTTCAATTTTAGTTCTCCTAATTTTAATTTTTCAAATTTAATATTTTAAAATCTTTAATTAAATTTTTCATTTCAAAATTAAATTTTTTAATAATATTTTATGCATTTTATTTAAATATTTTATAATTTTTATACTTATTTATATAAATTAATCAATATCATACTTTTATTATATTTTATTACTTTTTAGATAAAATTTTAGAATGGAAAACTTAATTTGAACATTTAAAAAAAAATTTAAAAATTAAATATGATCAATTAAAATTAAATACACTAAAACAGGACATATGTTAAAGTATAGGAAAGAAAAATACAATTAAGTATTTTTAATTTCTCTGAAAAATATCTAAAACTACTTTTGTCCTTTTGATATTTCATGGTCCCAGTGGGGAAAGCTTAGGAAGCATGTGTTCATGAATTGGCTTAATCATTAAACGTGTGCTAGCCTGTTTTTGGGTGGCTTCAACTTTATAGTGATATAATATTTTTTGCCTTGTTTGACTCTTTAATCCTTTAGTTATTTGGTTATTGATTGAGTTTGTCTAAAATATTCCGTAGAAAAATAATTTTATCCAGATAAACTAATGAAATCAAGATATTATATTAAAGATCATATTAATTTTTTTATATAAACCAAATCATATTAGTTAATCCAAAATAGGTTATTTATAGCACAGAACTTTGATTACTATAGTAACTAATATGAATTGAGTGCATAATTGTTTCTCAGATGTATGCTTCACAGTAATGCTATTTGAATTTGCATTATACAATAACCAATAAATAATAATTAAGTGTGGATGACTGATGAATTTTGTTTTATCTTTTTTTGTTCAAAAATCATATAGTAGAGATGGGAGAAAATAAACAAAATTTGTAGAAAGTTTCAAATATTCATCATGCTTGTCTTGGGTGAGTCAGAAATTGGAAAAAGAAGTCAGAAGATTGTTCAAGTTACTCACGTCAAGTCTTAAGAGAAATATTTTCGTACGACACTTGCATTATAACACATAATAATGAGTAAAAGTTTGAGATTATATGAAATAAATTAACATTATACATGATCAAAATGTGTACGTTAATATATACCAAAGAAGCACAAATATTTAGTGTTATTTTATGTAACCAAGAACAAATTCAAGTTATCCAGTGAAAATTCTAATAACAATGACATTGATTGAAGTTTTATTTAAACTTGGAAAGGTCGAGTTTGATATTTTAAAACTTGTTACAATTGATATATATATTAGAACAGACATCACTTCCATGTGAAGCCGTATTAGAAGTTACTTCCTTATAATATAAAATCAGAGGAATATCCTTTCTTTGATCTGTGTTCACATTAAAATTTGGTTAATTTCTCTTTGGAATTTGCTTCAACGTTTTGTTACCATTGAAGAGACATGGAATGTAAAATTGTAAAATCAGCTATGAAGAGACATAGAAGCTGTGTGGTATGATGTGTGATAGGATAACTGCTAAGGTGTGAATCCATATCATTCTATTATTCCCAACCTCATAGATATTTCTCCAAAAGTTATGGTCCCAAAATGCTGTGCTGACACAGCCATGAAATGCCAATAATCTGGACCCTTTTATAATATTTAAAATGTAAGTAAATATTAAAATTTATATGATCTGAAAGATGATATAAAATAATTTCACAGTACCTCATCAAATTTATATTTTATAAAGTTATTTAGTAATATAAGTGCTTACATATTAGTATTATTATCTTATTTACTTAATAGTCAATATCTCAATTTAAATTAACTTGATTCTATGTTACTTAGAATCAATTTTAATTAAATTTGATATAATTATTTTTAATTTGTAAATGGCTTTTAATCTTTTTTTAAAAAAATCGATCAAAATTATTTAAGGTGAAGTGAAGAATAAGTATAACCTGTGAATAACTATCTGAATAATAGGAGGTAAATATGATTTGGATAGGATTTGACAAAATATATAAATTAATGAAGTTTCATATATTTTTAAATTCTTTTAAAGTGTGTAACTCAAACAATATTTTGATTTCAGATATATATGACTCACGTGGTATTTTTTTTTTTTTCTTTGCCACCTTTGCAACAGCGTCAATTGATGTATGGAATAGTGTATTCAAAATGATGATAACACATGGATTAGACAAGAATTAGAAAATAATTGATCTGTTTAAATATTAAAAAAAATTAATACACGTATACGTTTAAGTTTATTAATTTACTTTTTAAAAATATATTTAAAAGGTTTTGTCAAAGAAGTGATTTTGAAATATAGCTCACGTCAAACCTTTTAAAATATTAATTTTCAATTAAAGGATTCATCCGAAAAATAAATTATATTAAAAGAGTTACAAGACTTAATAAAAAATGTAGAATGATAATTTAAATTTCTACAAAAAACGAAATCCTTAATATAGACCAATGTTTATTAATTAAAGTAATTAAAAAGTTTCTTCCTTTTAAATCAAATTTAGTGAATAAAAAGAGTAAAGAAAAAAATTATCCCTTTAAATAAATTAATTAATTAAGATTGAATGCAACTTTTTGGCTTTTAACATTAACCTTTTCAAATAATCCTAATGAGATAGTAAGAGGAGGAAGACTAAGAATAATTAAATTGAAAGTGTGGTTGTGAGTATGATGAATAAATATGAGAGGGTGAGAGAGCATTAAACACGTGCCCGACACCACTCTTTTGTCCTTTTTCGGAGTAAGATTATTATAATTGCAAAATTCTCTGTCCAAATATTTTTTAACAGTTTAAAAATTTAAATTTGAGCTATTATTTAAATTAAAATAAAAAAGTTTAATTTTAAATTATTTAATATAATTTTTTTATATTATTAATTAATTAAAAAATATTTTTATATTAATTATTATAAAATTTAATATTTTTATTAATATAATCATTTATAATTGGATGATATCTTATACTATTAGAATATTTGAATTAAATTTTTTTGATATATTAAATTAAATTTTAAAAAACAAACACCTACTTCTCTTGCATATTTTAAACGTGACTTAAATTCATATATATAAATATTAAAAATAATCATTTTTTATTATTAGAATAATTAGTTGACAAAAATTACTCTTAATAAGCAAAGATATTATTAAAAAATTAATAATTTTTTACATTCTAAAATAATAAATAATTTGAAATAATAAAAAATATTTAAATCACGTCTAATATAAAACAAAGGATGTATAACATTTTAAAAATAGAAAAGCAACTAATAATTTTCATTTAATAATTAAGAAATTTATTTAAGAGCAATTAATGTTTTTAGTTGATAATTATCTAAAGTTGTTGATGCCGTTTTGCTTTTTGTTTACACTACATTTTTTAAAACTCCGTTATTGTTGCTGAGAAAGGTATAAAATCCCGTTATCTTAGTCAGACACTCGTTGGCTTTTGTAATCATAGCACTTGTTATTATTATTATATTGGCATATTTTTTTATTTTGATGAATTTGATTTTAATTTAATATTCGGTGCATAGTTTTCGTGTGTCTTCGATTTGAGGTTGTCGTACACATCTTTGAAGTCCTTCTTGTCGCTGTTCTGTTCTTCATTTGTTCATTCAGAATGGAAAACCATTCTACTGTGGAACACATTAAGCACCATTATTACTACCCACTTCCTGCTTCAGATTCTTCAGCTGCAAAAGCTGATCTTAACGATAAGGATGAAGAAGAAACTAGTACACATGAAGCCATTGAAGCGGATTCTGAAAACAAGCATAACACATCACAGAATAACCAAAATAAACCTGGTCTCAACAAATATGCATTTGCCGGTGCTATTTTGGCTTCCACAAACTCCATTCTCTTAGGCTATGGTGAGTTTCACTAAAATCTGTTCAAAATTCAATGCTTAATTAATCATCTATTACCACAATTTCCCAGATCAAAAAATCTCCCAACATCCCAAACCCACCTAAAATATTGACCCCTCCCCCCTTATTTTAAATTGAAGAATTTGACAAGGTTTAACTATGATTGTAGATGAAAAGTTTAATTTTTTATATTTTGGGTATTTTGTGCTCTGTGTGTGTGTTTGCAGATATTGGGGTGATGAGTGGTGCTACACTTTACATAAGGGAAGATCTGAAGATCTCATCTGTTGAAGTAGAAGTCCTTGTTGGGTGTCTGAATGTGTGTTCACTGATTGGATCTCTTGCTTCAGGGAAAACTTCTGATTGGATTGGAAGAAGGTACACAATAATGATTGCGGCAGCAACATTCTTAATTGGTGCTTTGTTAATGGGATTGGCTCCTTCATTTCCATTTCTCATGGCTGGGCGGGTAGTTGCTGGCATTGGTGTTGGTTACTCCCTCATGATTTCACCAGTGTATGTGGCAGAGCTTTCTCCAGCACTCACTAGAGGCTTTCTTACTTCACTCCCTGAAGTGTTCATCAGTGTTGGCATTTTGTTTGGTTATGTATCCAACTATGCTCTTTCAGGTCTCCCAAATGACATTAATTGGAGAATCATGCTTGGTCTTGCATCATTGCCAGCTATTGCTGTGGCACTTGGTGTGTTAGCAATGCCTGAGTCACCTCGCTGGCTTGTAATGAAGGGTAGGTTTGAGGAAGCAAAGCAAGTTTTGATAAGAACATCAGAGAACAAAGGAGAAGCTGAAATGAGGCTTGAAGAGATTTCAGAAGCTGCTTCTATCACAAACAAGGACAAAGCTTCTTCTTCTTCTTCTTCAGGTATGTTGCATGGTCCAGGAGGTGTTTGGAAGGAGTTGCTTGTTAGACCTACTCCTCCTGTGCTGAGGATTCTTGTGGCTGCCATTGGTGTTAACTTCTTCATGCAGGCTTCAGGGAATGATGCTGTGATATATTATAGCCCAGTGGTGTTTAAGGAAGCTGGGATTCAAGGTGAGAAGCAGCTGTTTGGTGTTACAATCATCATGGGAGTAACCAAGACTTGTTTTGTTTTCTTGTCAGCATTGGTGTTGGACAGGTTTGGGAGGAGGCCCATGTTGTTGTTGGGCACATCTGGCATGGCAGTTTCACTGTTTGTGCTGGGCTTGGGCTGCACCTTGCTTCAGTTCTCTGATAACAAGCCTGAATGGATCATTGCTTTGAGTGTGGTTGCTGTCTGTTCAGCAGTGTCCTTTTTCTCTATTGGGCTTGGGCCCACAACATGGGTCTATTCTTCAGAGATTTTCCCTATGAGGTTGAGGGCCCAAGGTTCCAGCTTGGCTATTTCTGTGAACCGTTTGGTGAGTGGGATAGTGTCCATGTCATTCCTTAGTGTTTCAGAAGCAATAACGTTTGGAGGCATGTTCTTTGTGCTTTCTGGGGTTACTGTGGTTGGCACACTTTTCTTTTATTTTTTCTTACCTGAGACCAAAGGCAAGAGCTTAGAGGAGATTGAAGCTTTGTTTGATGATCAGGCACGTTGAGTTTCAGAGCAAGCTCTAGGACAAGTCCTTGCTTAGGACAAATCCTACATCTCTGATACAAATGTGGTACATTTGGTACTTGTTACAATGGTCAAAACTAGAAAGTTGGAAGTGAAATTCTCGAAGAGATTGGCATATAAGTGCAATTCTTTTTGTTTAATTTATTGTTTTGCATGTTAAGGCACATGATTGAATGAATGTTGGGAAAAAAAATGAAAAAGGCTAGAGTGGTTGGCACATTTATACCACATCTTAACATTGGATAGATTATAGTCTTGTAGACTATTACAAAATTAGGCATACCCTGGGATGATTCTCCTTGGGATAGTTGTTTGGATATTTTAGGTTTCTTGTCTCACTGGACAATGTATTTATTGAGGTATCTGATTTTATTTTTCTCTGTGAGAGTGTCCACTGATACGTGTGTTTTGTGATCGCTAATATTAATGATGTTAGTGTTAAGTCACTTCACAATGAGAGAGACTCTTCATAGATTTGCTGTGGTGAAAGAATGAATGAGAGAGCATGCACGATGGTGAGTTTCAAAATTAGCATCAGCCTATAACAAAGTGAGAGCAGATTCAGAATGACTTTCAACAATCAGAAATTGAATGCTTCCTTGCCGGGGCCCAAGGAGATATTTTTAATATTATGGGCAACTATCCTTAAGAGGCCAATTCACATGAACCACTATTTTGATGTAATATATATGAGCCATAACCTGATTTGTATTTTTATGAGAACAAGCATGACCCAGTTGCCACTCTCATGGACCTTGTCCACGGCTGCACCAACACCCTCGAGTTGCCAAATAGGCGATAAAAATACACTTGGTCACGGGTCTGAATCCTTCATATTTACATTACATCTTTATGAGAACAAGTAACGTATAGAGTTTCCATACGATGTATAGATTGTTATAACACTTAAAATTTGGGTAAAACAATTAAAAATGATTATATCTGTTGAAACCTTAAGTATATTGTATATATGGTTAAAGAAAAACTTATAAAAATTAAGATAATTTTTTTATGAACTAATTTTTAGAGTTGATTTAGACTTAAATTTAAATTTATGTTTAAATTTGATTAGAAAGAAAAAGAATAAAAATCAAAGAAAACATGAATAATAGTCTATTTTTATTTTTTGATTGAATGGAAAAGAAAAAAGAAGAAGGAAGGAAAAGTTAAGTTTTATAAACAAAAAATTTCCTTTCTTCCATTTTTCTTTCAATTAATTTCTTTTTTCTTCCACCTTTCTTCCATTCTATATATCTAACAAAGGGTGGAGTTAATATTAAAACATATCATAGAATTGATATTGGATCCTCTTTAAGTTAAAAACAAAAATTAACAATCTTTTTTCCTACCCTCCGGATGTTTAATATTGAGTGTGAAATTGAATTAAGCCTAAACTCAAATTTAAAAATATAAAAAAAGCATATTCTAAAGAAAGACATTCAAACGTATACATATTACAATTTATCAAGGATTGATTCTCCAATTAAGTGTCTCTATAAATCACAAAGTTATTATCAGCAAGATTATGTCTCTTGATGAATATAAAATAGGTGGGAGAAAGAAACGGGCAGAAAAAACTGCGATTGTCTAATGGGTGAATGGTATCCGTAAGAATTAAGCACGAGTTATGTTACTAATTTAGTGTGATGGAGACTGGTTCCAAACCCTAGAGACGCGTGGGCAGGTTCCATGAATGTTCAACCTTGGTTTTGAGGTTAGCCTCACTGTTACGATCCTTATCAGATTTGATGTGTGGTTGGTTTGTCTTGGTCAAATCCTGCCCCTCACCACTTCTCTTTCTCAATCATCTTCTGGTATCAACTGTTTAGTTATAGATGATTAGATACGGGCTAGTACGTAGCTGCTATATTATTAGTAAAAATATTAAATTAAATTAAATTTCTTAATTTTTAATAAATTTTAATTAATAATAAAACTGTATTAAAAACGTGTTGCTAATATTTTTTTATTGTTATCAGATTAAAATATTTGACTAATATAATTTTGATGATTAATTTTGGGGTTATGGAATATGATAATGGATTATAGGGTGTCTACACAAATAAAGAAATAGAACTTCGAAGTTAAAAGCAGCAAATTAAAACATAGCTAGTGGATATCCAAAGAGCAAGTTAAGAGGAGATTAGCCAATATGTAGAAATTTCTAGAATAGATGTATACGGCATACTTTGCTTCATAATCATACAAATGGATCACATATATAAAATATTTTATGCAGTAGAAGTAATATTCTCTCATCGTCCCAAATTTAGTTAAAACCAAAAGCTTATAAACTACCCATAAATAGAGATATTTTAGTAAGAGGCACACCAAGATACCTATCTTGGCAAGAAACACGAGGAAGGGACAAGACATAAATCAAACTCAGTGCTACTTGTTTCGTTGAAAATTATAATGAAATTGTGGCTCCAAATTAGGTATAATAGCTGGTACCATTAACCAAATATGTAAGACAACGCAAGAGCAAAAATAAACAGGAAAACCATGAGAATAATAAGTTAACATGAACCTAAGGAGAAGGTGTTTTTTTTTTTCTTTTTCTTTTTTCTATGGATATCTCATCATATTTGGCTTTCAATTTATCCGAGTTTAGCAGCGTGAATCTATTTTTTAAAATTTAACATTTATTTTTTCGTTCATATGACTCAAATTTAAAATCTTACTTGAGGAAACTATACTTAATTGATCAATAGAGATTAGAATAATGTGCCGATTATTGAGTTGATTTTGTTTTTTTATCACATGTGATGTTTACATGTGTACATTTGTTACAAGTCATTATATATTTCTTTAACCACTTGAACATAAGATAGAGAAATTATTATTTTATAGCTTCTCAAGAAGAAATTGTATGCATAACATTAGTGCCTAACCAAAGGGTGATTATGCATACAGCTATGAGGACAGTGCAACTAAGGACTTTATAAGATTTGGAAAAAAAACACAATAGTTTGGCCTTGAGTCAAAGCTTTTATCAAATCAAAGAGACAAATATCGTTCCACTTTTGGTGACCGACTCCTTTTTTAGCTACATTTGGATAGTATATATATATATATATATATATATATATATATATTTGTTAAGAAAGAAAAACTTATTTTTATGTTATAAGAAGATTAGTCTTTAATTGTTGATTATTGGATATCTTTAGTAAACATGTAAAAGAAATTATAATTTTATTATTCTTACCTTACCTTTATCACTACTAAATATATGTATTTTTTATTAACTGATATTTAAAATAATAAATTGCATCATATGTTAATATTAATAAAAACAAAAATTACGTTTGTCTAATTATTTTTATTATTATTTAGTTCAGTTAATTGAGTTACAAGCATAAAATATGAAAGTGCAAGTTTATTCTCCAATTATGTAATGTATTTCCTTTCCATTTTCTTAGTTCTCATGTCCTCTCTCTTTAAATATTTTTGAGTGTCTCTAAAAAATAGAGCACTCAGCAGTCAGTCCAAAGTTTTAAAGTAAATCATCATACTAGACTTTCAAACTACATAAATGAAGCATTTTAATTTTTAAGATTTTATTTTATTTTTATTAATTTTTACTTTACAAAATGGTATTATTTTAGTTTTAATACAAAATAATAATAAAAATAAAACTAAAATAGATAATTTTCTATATAATAAAAAATTAACCAAAATCTTTAATATTTAAAAGTTAAAACACTTAACTCATGGTCTTAAAAAATAAATTTAGAATATAAAAGGTTTTAGGATGGGGTAGGAAGCAAATAAATAAGTTGTGATTTCAAGTAGGGATGACAATGGGTAGGGTATGAGTAGGGTACTATAGTACCTATCCAATACTCGCGTTTTAAAAAAATATTCGTATCCAGCCCTATACTCGCGTAGGTATGAACATTAATTCTCGTACACCTATCCTTTGGTTACTCGCATGCCCATTTTATACTCATTACCCGCACTTGTTTGAGAAAAAAATATTTATAAAAAAAATATGTTTATATAACTTCATATAAGTAGCATAATAATATAAAAATTTAATATGTAGTTGTCAAACAAGGTATAAATATAGATAAAAAAAATATTCAAAAATTACAAGTCTTAAATGTATCTTAATATAATAAATTTATAAACTAAAATTCTTAAAAATAATAAGCAAAACTAAACACATAAGTTATTTGTTGGCGATAACTCTATCTTGTATGAGATTCGATCGATCGGCAACGTCAGAGCGATAACGAAATAGATTTGCACAATAGGTGACCCTTCGCATGGGATCACTTGATGAGACTCTAATGAATAACGTTTCATAGTTGTTAAGTTTTAAGGAGACTAACATTGAGAATGAGAGTAAAGTTAGAATAGAGAAGTTCAAGTACTAACAACGAAAAATAGATATATAAAATATTTTTTTAAACTTTTGAATTTGAAATTGTAAGAAAAATAATAGATTTAATTAAAATAATATATATATATATATATATATATATTAATACTAGTATTTTTAACTCATATACTATACGAAAGTATTTTATCAAAAATATATGTATATTAAAAGATTATACTTTTTTATCTAAAGAAAAACTTAACAAATAAAAATTAACAATAATTTTTTATATTTTATATCTTTTCAAAACCTTCTTTGAACGTAAATGAATAGTAAAAATAATATTATTTAGATTTAATAGATTATAATTGTACTTGTAATACATATGTTGTATAGAAAAATATTATTTTAAATTAAAATATAAAAAATAAAATTTAAATATTATCAATAAATAATATGTTTATTATTTATAATAGGTGATTATAAAATTTATAAAATATTTACCATATATTTATTATTTATCATTCATTTTATGATTTAAATATCAATATAAATTTATTAACAAAAATATTTATGTGAAAAATATTTTATATGTATCATATATAAATAATATTTTAAAAAAATTAATCTCATATCAACTATGTAATAATTAAATTGTATTAGTCTAATTAAATGATATAAAATAATAAATAAATTCTTCTATTAAAAATATAAACTAAAATAATTTTTTTAGTTTATTTTTTATTAAATATATTTTTAAATTAATCTTATATAACTTCACATAAGTAATATAATAATATAAAAATTTAATGCATAATTATAAAATAAAATTTAAGTATATATATTTATATCTGTACTTATTTTTATTAAAATTTATAAATTTTTATTCATATTTATACTCGTACTTATTTAATAAATAAATATCTTATTTATTATAAATAAATTTTATGAGTGTACGGTTAGATACTCTGTTATTTTCATTCCTAATTTCAAGATATCACATGTAAAACTGATTTGATTTCATAAAGATAAGAGAGAGATAAATGGAGAAAAGAATAGTACATAGCCAGCGGTTGAGAGTTTAAGATAATTGATTTTGACTTGACTATGGTACCCAAGGGAAAAGTCCCAAGGTCACCCACACCCATATAATATAACCACATTCTCTCCTTGATTGTTATCATAATATAGCCTTTAATAATAATAATAATTCCCAAGTGGCATGCAGCAAACAAAATTATGAATAATACTAATTATCTCTAAGCTATATTATTAATGTATCACAAACTAACCATTACTCAACTCGTTTTCATGTCTGTTTGAACTGAGAACAATTGTTGCTCTTCAATGCCACAAACTGCAATAAATACAAATATATTTAGATCAGTGTTTATATAGGAATAAAATAAATAAATTAATATACATTTAGTATAGAAAAACATAAATTAAACTAAATCATGTAAAAAATATTTTTTAAAATAAAATTTTATTTTTTAATCAGTTTAGAAAATTAGTTCTTAAACATCTCTATGAAAATATGTTTTCGAATAAAAAGACTGAATATATATACCACTGGGTTGTAATTTAAAAATTATTGTTTTTTTAAGTTATTATTATTTTTTCAGTCTTTTAAGTATATAGTATTCATTTGACACCAATAGATAATTAATTTTAAAATACATATACATTAAAATAATTAAAAAAATAATTTTATAAATATAGCAATAAAAAAACGGCAAAGTAAAATAAAACTTACTTAAAAATTTTATTATTCCACTCATTCCACCCATCTCAGTCAACTTAAACAAAATTTATTAAATGTATAATTTTTTTTATTAAAAGTGTTAATTAAATAAAATTCCTTCACAAAATAAGCAAGTTGTGGAATTGAAACACAACTTACCCAACAAGCTAGTTCCTGAAGCAAGAGTCCTTTTAAGGAGGTTAACATTTCTACACAAAACCCAACATATATTATTTTTTTACGTAGGTGTATATATATGGACAAAAGATACGGAAAAAATTGGAATAATGTTTTTTATGGCTTGCTTGTTAAAAGTACCATTTTTTTATATATAAACATATTTTAAAAATATATCTCAAACATAATTTTTTTTTATTATATCTCCTCTTAATATTACATAATATATTTTCCTTAAAAATTTGAAGTTGACCTGATTTACAGTAAAAATACATTGGTGTACTTGACATGTTCAGTCATTGTTCAGTCACGTGTTAGTAAGATACAGAGTTACAGTCTTCCAGACATTTCTATTTAAGAAAGTATTCTATGTTAGAAATAAAATAGTCAAGCAAAGGTTCTAAAATAAGATTGAAAATCTGAATTTGATTTAAACTTTGTACCGATATTTAATAATTTTATGCCATTTATTCTATTTTAAAATTTGATAAATTATAATTTTTATGTTGAGTTTTCTATTAAAATCAATTCTAATTTAGCAGAGTAGTATCATTATTATTAAAAGCGACAAAGTTTTCTTTTGAATACGATTGCATTTATTATTCAAACTTCACTTTAAAATTAATTTTAAGTGAAGTTTATCATAGAAGAATAAAATAGTTTAAACAAGTCTAAATACTCCTGTCCAAATACGCATTAAGGCAGATAACCAACTCGTCAAAGAAAATGCTAGTTGAGTGAATGATGCACAAGTAGTAATTTGAATACGTACATGAAACATTGTGAATTAAGCCAAACAATGATGTGATTAGTGAATTAGTGATTAGGAGAAAATATGGCATAAAATATAGGAACAGAATTGCTGAGGAAATGTCCAATTCAACAACCACCCACATATCTTTCATTTTCCCAGAGAGGCTACATACCAACTCCAACATCAAAAGTAAAAGCAACGAAACATACAAAACTTATTTATACTGCAAAAATGTCACAATCTCCCAAGTTTGGAGGTTGTGGGGTCCCGTTAGGAAGCAGAAAGAAAATAGGGACAACACAAGAGCGTGTGAAGACAAAAAGAGAACAACAAAAGCAAATAGAAAAAACTCACAAAAGGGTATTTGATCCATTGATCTTCCAAAAGGTCAAAAAAAGGCTAAACTGAACTCTCTTTAATGGCTCCTCTTCTTCTGTCAATTGTATGAGGAAATCTTCACTGAGATCATCACCAACTACAACCTAAAATAGATACATTTACACATTCTCACACAGCTAGATACAATACCCAACACTGTCTCTCTTATCTGCATCTTAAGGTACCCACCACAAAATCTCAATTATATACAAAAAGTAGTACTATCATTGCCATCACCAATGCTGCTAAGAAGTTCCATTTCCAGCACAAAGAAGTTCTTCCAAAAGACTATAAAGAACTTCAAGTCTTTCTTCTCACCAGGTTACCAAAGGCTTCCAAAAGCTTCTCCTTACAACCCCTTATCTTATTATGTGGCTGCACCAAGCGCCATAGACACCAACAGCAACACAAGTTATCAAGATATGGAGAAGTTGTACACTGACTTCAATGACCAATGGGAATCAGAAAAAGAGAAAGCAAGAAGAAGGATCAAGAAGAAAGATGCGTTGTTATCATCACCAGCAACAAAGCAAGAAAATAATGAGGTTTATAGTGGAAGTTACATTAGCTTGTCCAATGCAAGCCCAGCTCAGAAGAAGAATAAGGTGGAGAAAAAAGAAGAATTTGATAACCAAAATGATCAGAGGAAAATGACCCTTGAAAAGGGTAGGCAGAAAGATTCGTCATTCATTTCAATGGGTGTGAAAGAACACAGATACTGCATGGTGGAACAGAAGCTGAGGGAGTTGGAGATGTTGGACATGAACAATATGGAATATGTGTTGGACATTGAAGAGGTTCTTCATTACTATTCTCAACTCACTTGTCCAGCATATCTTGAAATTGTGGATAAGTTCTTCACGGAAATGTACTCGGAGTTGTTTGGTTCAGTGTGGACTGCTACACCTCGCAGTGTTAACTCTAGGCAAAAGCTGAGATATCAGTGAGAGGTTTTAGGTTTGTTGTTATTATTTTTTTTTTTTCTGTTTCTGAAAATTCTTATCCTCTCAAGATCATTCAACGCTTTCTTGAGTTGATTCTGCGTTTATTGACCTTGTGTTTCATGGATGGAGGATGATAGCTGTGTGTGTTTGCTGTGTGGAAATAATTTAATTTTCTTTTGTTCAATTGTTTCATTAATAATCCATTAACACATATTTCATTGACCTTATTATCAGATATTTTTGTTCTAAAATAGTTCATAATCCTTTCTGGATGTTGCTGTGTTTCATTAGTTGAGAGTACTTTTATCTGCTTAATATGTAGGAAGGCTAGGAACTTGAAGAAAAGTTTTAGGCCACACCTTTGCTCTTGTCTAACATATACTTGTTGCTACTTGTGGTTTATTCATATTTTTGCTATCTTTAAACGTGATAATTTAATATGTGGGTTTATTTATTTTTTAATTAGGAAAATATTTTTAATTTTTAATTTTCTCATAGTCTTTTATTATTTTGATTAAAAAACTGTTATCCTTTTACATAGAACTGGGAGTTAAGCATTGTATGTAAATTTAATGAACATTGACATATAAACATTAGACTAAAAACTGGAGAGATTAAATAAATTACTATATTTAAAGGTAGGGAAACAACAAATTATTATATTTATATGAAATAAATAGATATTTAATTTGGTCCTCATACATCATTAATTAACACATGCAGCATTCAATGGGCTTAATTTTGTACGGTTATCTTCAACTTAAGAAGCTCTTATTGGACACAATTTTCTTCAACCCAAAAGCCCCACGTTTAAGCAACTCATTGACCCAAAATCTATTACTTTGGCTGGTGGCGATCATGTTCAGGGTTGAGTAGGGGTGACTTCATGAGTTTTAATTTGTGGCAAATGCGAAGGCAAAAAAGTTTGAAGGCTCATAGTTCGTCACGAGGGAGACAAATTTAAGGTGTGATGTGTGGTATTGATGTTTGCTGTTTGTAGCTTTTCTCACGGCTTTTAAAATTAAATATATATTTTTTAAGGGCAGACTCATCACTAAGAAAGGTCTTAGTTATTTGTATCTTACAATTTTGTCTTTTATAAAGATCATAAGGTGTTTTAAAAGTTTCTGGGTATGTGAAACCCATGAATAAATATTTATTTCGATTACGAAGTACTCTCAACGGCATTTAAATTGTATTATAAGTTTTACTTACATAAAGTTCATTTTTCTGCCAACTTTGTTTACGATAACCTTATATTTTACACAATAATGGTAAGTACTTGTTACTTAAATATTATTTATTTTGGTCATACATTATTATTTTTTTAGTACGTATTAATTTGAAAGTTTTTTTTAAATAATTATTTTCTGATATTTTTAGGCTCGTTTAAATATGTGTGAGATTTATTAAATAAGGTATAAGATATAATTTTATAAATTTCAGTTAATAATAAAAACATGTTGAGTATGTTATAAGCTTTTTATTTGTCTAACATTTCTGTGACTACAAATCATCCATATGGGCCACTTCACAATGTACTAGGACTTTGATCTCGGTTTTGGTCGATCTCAAGGGACCTGAAAATCGGTTCTCTACTGCTTACAGATCTAATTCGAAGTCCATGTAGCCTACTGAATTTCTAAAGCCCAGTGCTCTGTTTTTAGATTCATGAACCGCTATACAATCACATATAATTTTAAGGTTTGTCAATAACTGGCTATTTTTCTTAGACGTGTTGAAAATGCTACTACATATCTAGTAGTTTTTGTATCTTACAACTTTGTTTTATACAAATCATAAGGGGTTTTAAAATATTTATGCATGAAAGCCATGCATAAACATCTTTTATTTTAGTCACGAAGTGCTTTCAATAGCATTTAAAATCCTATATTACAATTAAAAGCCATAATTTCGTGTATGACTTACAGTTTCTACACACACACACACACATATATATATATATATATATATATATATATATATATTCGGTTGAATGTTTGAATTGATTGTTGTTTTTTTTTAAAAAAAAAATGAAATAGGAAAAGCATATAACATTTTGTTAGAGATCAGACCCGAACACTTTTTTTTGGTAGGGTTATAAAACAGCCACTTGTATATGGTGTTCACTATTCATATGGGCCACTTCACAGTATACCAAGTCTTGATCTTGCTATTGGTTGATCTAATGGAATCCAGAGTGAGTTCTGGAAAATTATTATTTGTGCCACCCGATTTGTTACTTGTATTATTAGTTTTTGGTTTTTCCAGAATTTAAATTCGAGAAGAACAAAAATAAATAATACAATTATAAAAAAAAAGGTAGTATAGAAAAAGTAATCTAAATTATCAGTGTGTATAGATCTTACGATATGTTCAAAATATTTTAAGCCCAAAGATCTCTTATTGGACTCATGAAAGGCCTCAGTAGTAAGAAAGAAGAATGGTTTTTGAATGTTACACGCACAGCCATTTTCCATTTGGGCTTAAAATGTGAAGTGGGAAGCAATGCATGTGCATGCATGGACAGTCACATGGTGGAATTGGTGTGTGAAGAATGAAAGTAAAAGGTGGAAGAAACGTCCAAGAACATGAGGATGAGAGACTAGAAAAGTAAGTACAAAATCAAAGGTTTCCCACTAAGCATGGTGGATTCCATATTCCCCTATCATCTCCCACCTACTAATATCAACCAATTGAAAGAAAGCCACGTAAGGAATCCCAAAGACAGAGCCATGCCAATTGAAAGGAAGCCACGTAAGGAATCCCAAAGAAGATTCCACAGGTATCCCTTGATATTCCAAGAATATGGGGTCAATATCACTAACAAAAGTGAATTCCTTACCCCCCCCTACTGAGTTGAACTCTCCCACTTCAGCCAAAACATTAGGGGAATGAGGAGCTAAGACTTTCACTACTGTCTCCCTCAAATAGCTATGTTCTGGTAAAATGGAAGAGCTAGGGTCAATTTAGAGGGGTATACTTTCAAGGAATATTATCCTAGCTAAGATGTACTACATTGGATTTGCCATCATTGCCCAATTGACCTCATTGCTACCACACAGTACTACTCTCTAACTTTTAAGGCATTAATGCTCTTTGTACAAAAGCACTCAAAATGAAAAATATTTTATAGACGTCTCTTACAGATATAAGAATAAAATAGACAAGTCATAAAAGTATTAGATGATGTGACGCGATAAAAAAAAGTATACTATATTAAATGTGTATTGAGACTGTGAATCGTCGTTCCATCAAAACTTGATGATAAATTTAAGACTTCAACAAAACTTTTGAAAGACTAAATATTGTTGACCAAGATATTGGCTACTTGTGACATATATGGTCTACTCTATATCTACTCTCATTATCATCAAGGATACTTCATATCCGGCTAGAAATATATATTTAAGATTCTTTAATCGATCTGTACAAGTTTTCATCATGTATATTTTGTTTGAATGTAGGATGAAACATAGATGAAAGAAATAAGAGAGAAAAAAAAATGAGAAATAAAGTAAAAATAAGATGAAAAATATTAAATGTTGGATGAGTTGAAATTAGAGAGAAAAAAATTATAATTTTTTTCACTTGTTTAGATGAATAAAAAAGAGTGTGTAAATAAATAATTAAATTATATTAAAAATATTTATAAAACATTCAAATAAATTAAAATCATTTTTTTATTATTTATAAAAACAAAAAGAATTCTCTTGCTTGGTCGCTCTCCCTCTCTCTCCCTCCTCATATATCATTCACCTAATTTTGAGAGGCTTATTTTTGTGGTGAGATCCATAAAAAAAACACTTCTCTCTCTTTTATTTCCTTCCCTTTATGCAATCAAACAAGGAAAGTTTTAAGCTTTCTCTCTATTTTCTTCCCTTCTCTCTTAATTCTTGTCATCCAAACAGGGTGGTAAGGTGATCCTATATTAGTAATTGTTGGATATGATAGTTTACAAAAGATTACCATATTTTTAAAGCAAAATTCAATTTTTGAAATTTGTAGAAGATGATGTTGTTGAAGTGGCAAGTGTGAATAAATTTTTTTACATTAGATAAGAAAAGAGAAATTGAACAATATAAAATATAGTAAGGACTCAGTCTAATAATTTTGAAGTTTTAGATTAGATATAATATACAAGTCTATTTGAGTGGTCTATTTGTAACTTATTAATAAAGATGTTTTCAATATTTATGTCCTCTAATATGCATTAGTGTGTCTAAGGGACGGACTTAAGGTATTAAAGTAAATTGGCAATAGATTCACTCGATAAAGTCTTTCTTGTAATGTAGAGTTTAAACATGTTCAATTGATGAAGCTAACAGCAGTATAAATTGAAAAGATTATTGACAAACAATGACTCTAATGAAGTAGCAAGTGAGTAAAAAGATTATATATTATATGTAAGGGTAAAAAGGTTCAACAATATACAAGTGATAAAGAATCACAAATTACTAAGACAAATTAATAGCCTTAAGATTTTGATTTGGATATAGTATGTAAGAGTACTTATGCAGTTTGTTTGGTACTCATTGATGAAAATCTTCTTAATATTTAGGCCTCTGTCAACAGCGTGTCAATACCAAGACCCATGCTCGTGTATGGTACAATCATATATAGTTTAGAACATATGCATGCTTTGATTTGTCTGCAGTAGCAAGTTTGTTTTGTTTTGTACTGCTACATGGCTCGCTCTCTTTTTTTAACGCGTCCTTTAGTGTTATGATCGATGACAAATAACAAATTGAAGGTTATATCCCTCAAGGTGGCCGTGATAGATAGAGAGGTTTCACCAAAGTGGAAATAGAACGCAGCATCTTTGCTTTGGAATCCAGAACATGTGGAGTGAGGAATGGTGTAAATGATTCAACAAGACAAGTTGCAAGTGGTGTGGTCCATGGAAACTGTCCCTGGCTCTTGCTCAAGAGAAAGCCTCCAATGGAATAAGTGTACAAAGATGAGCAGTACCCATCTAGAAATTTTTTTTCCATGAAGTTTGT